TGCTACTTTTTTCCTTAGTGGTTAAATATTTTTTAAATAGTTTTCTGGCTGAACTTTTTTATTAAAGTATTCAAGTCTTCTATCAATACGTATAATAAATTCCTGGACAAAGTTTTAAACTTATTTCTATATAAATTAATAAATTATGAATCCTACTTTATTATGATCAATACGTCTTTGTTACCTTCGTTTAACCTTTTAGTTGTAAATAGAATTTCCAATTTTATTTACAATATTTTATTTATAACTATCTTTGTAACTTCTATTTATAATATTTGTATTCTTTTCAGTGAAATTTTCTTCGCTTTTGTTAAAAAAATTTTAAAAGATAATTTGATTCTCTTAGTCTCATTTGTTTCTATGTTCATATATACAAGTGAGCAAGTAATGTAAATATATTACCATTTAATATATAACTAGTGAAAGCTATATTTTTTTAATATATAACTAGTGAAAGTTGTTGATAATTTTACTATGCTACATTTCATTCATCTAATTTTACTTTGTTTTATATCATTTATTCATTAAAGATATTATGTGTATTGTATTCAAGGGTCTTCATTTTGAAGGGGAACGTTAAAACAGAAGTCTACGATAATCAATATGCTATCGGTATATCGTTAAAGGCTTTTTATTACATATACGACGCTGAGGTATTAATAGCTGGTATCGTCAAACTAACCATTGAAATAATATATTGAATAATATATTGAATATAATAATATAAAACATTTATTGCCGACGCAATTATGAATAAACATTTTTATTTACATAGATTTTCTTTCTTTTGTATAATATATATCGTAGATAATAATATCGTACATAATAATTATCAATAAAACAATTTTTATCTTGAGAAAAATATTGAAAATAACAAGATTATAAAGTTGTTTATCGAAAGTTATATAAAAATTATACAAGTAAATGTTGTCTATAACTTTACACAAAAACAATAGCAATAAACTTCTATATAACATGAAGAACATTTTATCGAAAATTTTTAAAAAGTGATTTCGAAGATATATGAATAATTCCACCTAAGTGATTTTACTTTTATCACGTTCTGGACAAATCTCTTTGATTAAAGTGATGCTTCTTACGCTGTAGATCAACAAATGAATACTTGTTTCCTCTCGACTTAAACCAAATTTGTGTTCATTTATTATATGAACATTCGTTTAATTTAATTGTTCGTTCTAAACGCAATATGGTAGAAGTCCTGTTCTTTTAATTCTTTCAGTCCTAATGAATTGTATATGTATATCTACAGAAAGGTATCTTTTCTATTAGCAAATAAATGTTAAGTTTCAATAACATATTACTACCTTGGTCAACATATTCACTAAAAAGTTTTCTCGAAATTTTATTATAGATAATATACATAAATAAATGTATTACACCTTATAAATATAGATCACATAAAATATGGCTACACTTAACTCTTTTAATCTGAATGAGTTCGGATCAGTGAAATTATTAACACTGACACAATCAGACCTGTCAATATGACGGATTTCAAAATTAATTTCTATTCTGATTTCTATTTAAACAGAAGCATGATTGTATAAATTTATTTATTTTAATTATCATAATTTTTAATTATAATGATTTGTGCATAGAGTGTTTTCATACGTATAATATCCTAGCCTAAGTTATTCCGCAAACAGAAAAATCACGAGTTTACAAATTATATTACAAAATAGATGTAAAAAAAGCGACAGGTAGAAAAAAAGCAAGAGATCAAAGACCGGTTCTTCTAATTAAAATAACATTGTGTTTAGTCGAAATTTCAGTGGTATGATATTTTGGATAGCATCCTTACTAAATAATTATCATAAACAATGGCATAATATAATCTAATTTATTAAATTTAAGCGTGCGACTGTTAATCCAGTTTTTATTCTGGAATTATTTTGAAATTTTCTAAAAGCAGTTTATTCTTTTCTAAAATAAGAGAAATATCTCAGAATTAAATCATTTAAGTAAAATTGAAAGTAAAAGAAAAGACTGAAAAGATTAAAAGTTCACATCGTGATCAAACTTATCGCTTAAAACGGAAATGAGGATTGGAGAATGGTATATGATTCATTCTTCACACATTCATTATACACGTGATGATTTCTATTTATAGAGGACTTCCTACAGAGAGCATTCCCATTCTATCATCTTTCATAAATCACCTGGCGAAGCTTTTTCGCGTATCCAAAGATATTCAACAGTAATTATGTAGAAAGTATTTTGTTACATCGCCAATAGAATTTAAAACATCGAATCCGAAACACATAGACTATTTAGAAATAAAATTTTCAAATCTTGTGTTCATGAATTTTTAAATTCACAGATAGGAGTTTTTTGCGTTCGTGTTTGCTATTGTAATCAATATTTCGCATAGTCCAGATGATTTTGAAGAATTGTAGATAACCATATGCATAATTCTACGAAAGAATAAAAATATACATTCACAGCACGAATGAAAAAGTGTATATTTTTAAGAACAGCGCTTAATGATATTTTACATCATAAGCATAATATATAACCTGTAGAATTTTTTTTTAAATATATTCATATTCTGTGAATATTGAAAATATGGAAACTATTATGTTATTAAATATAATTATTTTTCGTTGAACATTGTTTTCGGTCAAACTTTGTCGGTATATTCTAAAATAAAAAAATGAAAAAAAAATTTATGTAAGTACACACACCTTAGTCTCATTTTACACGGTACTTTTGTACACAATTTATAGTAACATTTTTTTATATATTTTATTCATAGTTACCTTCTTTCCACAGTTATGCAGTAAAACAATACAATTATGTATAGTAAAATATAGCCAAGAACATGTATTAGTTAACACAATGTGCACAAAATAATAATACAGAATGATACTTCAAACGATGATAATAGTGTTGTTTCAATACCAAAAACACAAATTGGTTGTACAAAGAAAAGCGATTGTGAATAAAATGCTAATCCTTTAAAGAATATTAATTAATTTCATTTTCCTCAACATGAACTTTTGTTAACATTTTCTTCTTATGTCCATAGAACGTATTAATTAATAAATTATTATATGATATTATAATATAATATAGTTATTATTATAGGTATTATTATTATAATTATTATAATAAGTATTATTTTATAAATGAATTTCTTATTTTAATTCCAAATTATAATAATTTAAATAATTGCTTGCAAATAATTAAAGATCAGTATGAACTAGAAATCGAAAAACTTAAAGAACTTTTAAATAGATTCTATTTGAAACATGGTAAACATCGTAAAACTTTTTCGAAAAATGTTTTTGCATTAGGTTCCGATGAGAACAGATAAATAAATGTTCTCAAAAATAAAAATTTCATATAGAATAGAATAAATATAAAAATGAAAATTTTTACTTTTCTGTGAAAAGAACAGATAATTTGTTCATCAATATTAAAAAAATTCTCAATATTCTAAATACTGATACTGAATACATACTATTCAATGAATAGTACTTGAATTTTTAAATTAAATATTCTAAAATAACTTGTTTTTATTATTCAGATTCTAAAATATTTGTTCCGTAAGAACACACTCAAAAATTCCACGAAAAATAATAGATATTTTTTTAAACGAAATAGATAAGTTCGAACAGAATTTTTTTAAAAACAAAAAGAATCCGTTAATTTCAATGCCTGACATAAATTATCAAGGATCCAATAAACTATCGTATCTAAATTGAAAAATCGTCACACATGGGCACATATTAAAAACACCAACACCTGTATTTATTTGCAGAATATACTAGGTGAACCAGCTACTTACATCTACCTCAAAGAATATTACATCTACCTCAAAAAATATTAACTTATGTGCGTCAAAAAATTATTAATTTAAGAAAGAGAGAGAAATATAAATTCTGCAAAATCTATCGTATAAAAGAAGAAAAAAGGCGAAAGTAGCATTCTCAGTATGTTCTTGTTATAGATAGATTTTTTAATATAATAAATATTTTATAATAAAATGTCTATCAAAATAATAATTTTTTGACATACATAAGTATTTTTTTCTGTAGAGAATATTAAGCTATCGATTAATGAATTAAAAAATATACCATTCCATTTTAAAAAGTGGGAGTGATCTTGAAATCTTCGAAATCTCTCAACAAAAAAATTATTACTACCATATTATGGTCAGATAATACATTCGAAATTAGATCGTATATACCCTCTTCTGTACTCAATGATTTTTGTTTAAAAAAACTTTTTCATATCTTCAAAAACATTTAGGTAGACGTAGTAGTTCACTCAAACAAATCAAATGAATTATTGTGGGAAAATTTCAAAATTGAAATTGAAGAACAATTTTAAAAAGATGACATTAATCCTTTGTTTTACGATTTTCTTCTCAGTTTTCAGTAAATATTAGTTAATATGATATATTACATCGTGTTAAACATAAAACATTGAAAGCATTTTGTATAATTTGTATTTGTTAATCTTCAGTTTAATGATTTAAAATTTGTGTTTGTTAATCTTCAGTTTAATGATTTAAAATTGAAAATCTAAATTTACATTCCATAGGACTATAAATTTGCTTTTTCTTTCAAACCGAAACCATAATTCCTAATGTTCAATCAATATAACTCGATTGTGACTCAAAGGGTTAATGACATTATTCCTGTACTTTAAAGAAGTTAATTTATTGAATAAAATATAAGTATATAACAATAATTAATAGTTGATAATCAATTAATAAGCAGGGAACTAAATACGATTAAGAATTTAAAAACGAAAAAATTGTTGAAAATTTAATTCCAATTGACACATTCAGACAATAAATTCGAAATTAGATCGTAGTTTAATGTTTGTATATACCGGATGACCGTGAAGTGCCAGGATTACAAAATGAGAAAAAAGTAAGATGTACAATAATTGGATCGTTGCACAAAATACGTGTGCGTAAAAAGATCGAAGTTTCTATGGCGGTTTGTGGCGTTTGCGTGTTATCCCAGGTCACCGAAATTCATGCAGTCACCGCCGATTGAATCCTACAGGGGTTGGTGGACCATCCCGTATTTCTCCTGCAAAAGTCATCGCTGGTTGATTTCGTACAGTGTTAACATACGGCCGTCAGATGCTCGTCATGGGTTCGTATTAATCACATCTTAATTTTTAATCTATAAGATACATGAATTTTTTGTAAAATTTCATTTCATTAGAAATTCTTATTTGCCTTTAAATTGAATTATTTAATTTAACTGAAAATTTTATTATTACCATACACAGAATGTATCACTTAATTTCACCATCTCGAATTACTTGTAAATCATTTATCGTATCATTCCTTTGCGACTAAAATGACACTATTCGAAAAAAATGTGTGTTTTAGGAGAAGCGAAAATCTGGTTTTGAACATCATCAGATTTGGTAGTATTCTGTTTATTATTTGTCAATTAAAGAAACAGCGCAATTCAAAATAATACACTTCTTATCAATTCCATTTGCTCACAGTGATAATCAAAACAAAATTCATAATAAGATAGAATAATTTCTTCTTATCGATCAAATTATGAAGATAAAAAAAAATAAATAAGATTTTTATAATTGATAAAGTATTATCTCTGCAATATTTTTATAATAATTCGAAAAATTATGATTTTTGAGTTGTGTCACTTTCGTTGCAAGAAAATGATATAAATATAATATTAAGAAGGTCATGCCTGCAGAACTAATTAATTATAATTTTTTATTATTTCTTTAGAATTAAGAAATTACATTTGAAAGGTAAGGTACAAAAAATTGAAGGTATTCTTAGTTTGAGAAGTTATTCTTTTTTAAGAAAAGACAAGACAAAAAAGACAAATAATTAATTATTACATTGTATAATCTCATTAATATCATATAACTTTTGCTTGAAACATTTTTTTATGTAATAAAAATGAGTTTTGAATATAATATGTATAGTACAGTGTAATATTGTTTAATATGGCATAATATAACATAATATTGTATAATATGACAAGACTTAATATGGTATAATAATATGATATAAGTTAAGATGGCAGAATTAAGTGACTATTATTAAAATTAAATTATTAATTAGTTAGAATTAAACTTGTAAACTTTAATCTCTGTTTTTATCATAAATTAATTAATTTCAAATACACCTCCATATTTAAATTGTAACTTATAATCAACATTCATTTCTAAAAATTTATTTTAAATGAATATGTATATTACCATCATACGCTAATTGCAAATTTATTAATTGTATAATTGTATAGCAATTGATAATTAACAAGAATATGCATTATAATATAATGTATGATTTAACGTCGCGAATATTTTATTTAAAATTCTTAATAACACAATTATTTTCTATCGGCAGTTTTTCAAGTCGATCTGAATAAATAAAATAACTATGTCGACAAATGTTAATGGAATTGTATCTTGTTTAAGGGTTCGAGAATTCTTAAGCGTAGATATCGATATCAGCGGGCTAGAAATAAATCAATGTGACGCATCGTCGTTAAATAATGAGAACGAACTTCTAAGTAATCAAATAGCATCTTTTAAAGGCACGCACAAATGTCATACCGACACAACGCAGGTAATTGTTCTCTACATATCTAACTAGCATTTTTGTAAAATTTCCTACATTTGCTATCATTACCAAGCTTGCTTCATTCATCATCATGTAATTAAAGATGTTATGGTAGAAATTTTCATACATTTACTACCAAAATTGATGATCTGAACAGGAACTACACATATATACCTACACATATATATAATATACTAGAGTAATAAAAGCAAAAAGTTGTAAAATAACGAAGTAGTAATATAAGAGATAAAAATATATTTGGATTTATATTGTTTCTATTGATTATGATATTCATCCGAACATAAATCTACTGATCTACTATCTGAAATTAAACTTTATTTCAAAAAGACGAACGAAATCATAATAAATAAAATGAATTAAAAAATGTAAATTAAATTATAGTATCTTTAATGACAAAATGATTCAGCGAATTCTCGAAATTTCTTTTCAGCCTCAGTATTAAAGAATAAAATTTAATAACACAATTTTGGTCTTTGGTAATAATAATGAGCTAATATATATTACATTACTAAAATAATCATAGAACCTACTTTAATCCTCAATGGCGATTACAGTAATTTATTTTAGATTACTAAAATTTAGAATTCCAGAGATAGAAAAATTCAGTTAAATGAATTCCAGAGGTAGAAAAATTCAATTAAATGAAAAATTCCAAAATTAAGTAATTCGTAGATTTTTATTCTCTCTCTCTCTCTCCCTCGCTTGTTCTTCATTGATACTCAATGATACCAATTAAGAGATAATTTAAATGTGATTTAAAGTTGCTGAAGTTTAAAGATTTTTCTATAACTAACGTGTGATTTTCAGTGTGAATATCAAACTCCAAATAATCGTATAAATCAAAACGGTGTCGGTGCTGGTTGGGCGAAAGGTGCATATGTATGCAAATGTCGGAAAGGTTATTACAGCAAGAACCAATATCAATCTGTTTTTGATGGAATTCTCGTCGAGGGTTAGTAGATAATTTGAATCTCGCTTCATACAAAATGCATGATTAACAAGACTTTTAGCTTAACTGAAATGTAAATTCATAGCTGCGTGGAAGGAAATGCAAGAGAACATAAGCGATTCGTACGTAACGGTGTTTCGCTGTTTACGTTGTGCACCGGGATGTGCCAAGTGTAAGGGACCTGAACCCTGTCTAGCCACCTACAATTGGCCCTTCCGGTATGAATACAGTACAAACTTTTATTTTTTTCTTTCTTCTTATTTAAGAAATTTTTTAAATTATTAACTTATTCTCAAGGGAGTCTCCCCATTTAGAGCCGTCGATTTTAAATAACTTATTGAGAAAATTGTCACTTTACGAGGGGCAGTCAGAAAGTAAACTTCACTCGCTTGTAACTATCAAAGACATTTCGATGTAACTTGGTAAAAACAATGTTTAATACTTCTACTCTGAAATTGTCAACGGTTTTGCCGTTGCAACTGCTTGTTATTTGTCATCAATCATTTAACATAGCGTGTATAATAGAAGTCCAAATTGGAGATCTGTGCTATCATTCGTTTTTTTATGGGTAAAAGAATTGAAATTTATCGTGATGTTTATGGTTAGAATAAGATATTCCAGTCAAGTTATTGGGAAATATAGCATTTCATTCGAAAATGGGCGTACGGATATTGAAAATAATTACCGAGAAGGTCGACACGATTTACAAAAGACCTGTTGCAAAAATTTAAGTGGAAAGTAATAACACCTTCCGAGCCTGTCACCTTGCGATTCCCATGTGCTTGAACGATAAAAACAAAGCTTGCAGGACAGTATTATTCAGACGAAGAAATGGAACATGCGACTCAAGAATGGATATTGCAAGTTGGACGGAATTTTTTCATTGAAGGGCTATATAGAAAAATAGCTGAAACAGTGAAATAAATAAACAATTACTTTAAAAAAAAAGTAATTCATTATGTTTAATAGGAATGAAACTTACTTTTTGTCTGTCCCTCATATTATAGAAGTTTGAAATTTTGTACATCTATTTGGTATACAAACAAAATGTAATTTTTATATAATTACCTTATTATTTTGTTATTATTGCAATTATTGTATATTTTCCACAATTTATTACTTTTGACTATCATGATTTACATTGTTGTATTCACCTGAAGAGAAAAAATCGAAGTGGTCTTTTGTAAATTATCATTTTGTAAATTAGAATGAAGCTAAACAAATTTTCTCTGACAAAATGATAGTCTCACAAAACCAAAATTTATAAAATATAACGTTTTTAAGCAATAAAATAATTATTGTCGATATTAACAGTTCTAGTTTATAAGATATACTTTTATATAGATTAAATTCATTTTTTATTTCTTTCTTTTAGATGAGTACAATACCAATCAAGGTAATTATTAAAAATGATATACCGTGGAAAACATGCAGTAATTTAAATAATTATACAAAAATTACATTATATCATCTTGAAATATAAATCAATAGATACACGAAATTCTAGAAATATGATCAAATAGGTACACGAAATTTCAAAACTTTTAATCTATAATACTCGCTTAAAAATAAATTAGCCACTTAGAATGAATCCTTTTAAATACGTAAATTAACCTTCATCTGTCTCTTGTATCTCAATTTGATACGAAAAATACGAAACTTTGTGACATCTATTTTTCAAATGTAACACATATTTTTCACATTTTTCATAAAAAAATATTCTACCAGAACTGCTGATATTGTTGGGCGCTAGAAAAATATATAACATAACTGTAACAGGCTAGTTTATCAAATATTTAACAGACGTATATACAAAATCAAACGATATGCAAATCGACACGCATTGACCAAATGATTACATCTACTATTGAAAATTGTGCACATAACACAAGACCAGACAAAGGGAATTAAATATTTTTGTTGAACCCATAACGTCACGATTACCATCTTTTCAGCACACATTTTCAAAATACTCAGCAGCAGTACATTGTAGTATAATTATCATGCATTCGATATATCATCTTTCCGAAGATGCATATAAACATCTATAGTTTTGAACATGTGTTCCTCAAAAAGAAAAAAAAAAAAAAAATGAACAAGAAGATGCATAGATACTGTAATAAGTAAACAAATGGTCGTAATATTAGACAAACCTAGAGAAGATAATATGGATATAAAATCAAACACATGTACATGGGAGTAGGATTATTGTGGATCTTATATGTGATTAAATAGAAACTTAATTTATTTATAGTTAATAAAGGAATTTATAAATTTAATTATTTATCTTTTCATTATATCAACCGTGATGTCAATTTGATACCAAAGAACAAATTAAGTTCGAAAAGTACGGAGCAGATGCAGGTTAAAATGTATTTTCATATTATATACTTTATCTATTAAAATTGTCAAATTTTTAGACAAATTGAATAAATTTTGCAACTCTGCGAAATATTGATTTGTCAGTTAATAAAATGTCTGTTTTCAGAATCTCTCTTCTATCGGTCTCTATTTTCTGTGTATTTGGTACTATTATCCTAGTGGTCTATATGTATCAACAGCGTAAGCTTAAAGTGTTCAAGGTCGCTTCGCCGATATTTTTGTCCATTACGCTTTTGGGTTGTGCTATTATGTATCTCGAAGTACGCACACAATTTTGTAACTGCGTATTAACATAATATTTGTATTTGGTAATTTTAATATTCTTTTGTATGGTAATTTTAATATTCTTTAGATGGCCGCAATATTTCCCGTTTTGGATATGTACTCGTGCATCGCTACGAAATGGACGAGACATCTCGGTTTTTGTATTTCTTATACTGCATTGTTGATGAAAACTTGGAGGTAAATAATACAAACTTCGTAATTATTATTATAAACGTTATTTATCAAACTTATTGGAATATATAATTAGATAAAATAATAATGTTTACTGGTTTTAGAAACCAGGCTAATTTCCTTGTTATTTTGTGAATATTAATTTAATTCTTTACCTTTTTTCTATACTTAATTTTTTATTCTTTCTTGTACTTCTTATTTCTTTTCCTTTTTTTTTTTTTTGATGTTTTATATTTATGGCTTCATATCTTAATTATACGAATAAATATAAAAATTAATTTTGTTGCAATTTAATAATTAATCTTTCTTAAACAACGAGTAAATTATTTAGTTCAATGAACATAGATTATTACATACATATATTACCTTCATTGTAAAATATTATAATTAATGCATAACATTATATGTTAAATTCTAATTATTTGTATTATTATTAATATTATTTGTATTAATATATAAATATATTAAATGTATCTTATATTATTTGAGTACAAATAACATTGTACAAACAACGCTTTTTGATATAACTAATAATTTTAAAAATATATAATCGTTATACTTTAGATATTTCAATTTTATTATAGTTAATATTTTAATTCTTAAAATATACAAAAGAAATATATATATTAAAATAAAATTTGAACTATATTTTTTTTCACAGAGTTTCTCTCACATACCGTGTGAAAAGCGCGCATAAGGTAAAACTTACGGACAAACAACTGCTGCAGTGGATGTTTCCAATATTGTTAGTAATGTTAATTTATCTTGGTACGTGGACTTTGAGTGCACCGCCATATGCTGAAGTAATAGCTGACAATTATGGTCTGAAATTCTACCAATGCTCTTTCAACTGGTGGGACCATAGTTTAGCAATCGGTAATAACAAATCTTGAAACACATTAGAAACATATTATAAAAAAACATAAACTGATGTTTTGGTTTTTAAAAGTCTAAAAGAAAATATTTCATTTAGTATTTTTAATAAAACACATTTATCAATAGACATACAGAAATTTTATATCTACTCAAACAATAACTAGTTTTAAATATCAACGTTTGGCAAAAATATTAATATTTAATTTAGTATTAAATTAAAAATATTAATATTTAATTAAGTATCAGTATTACAAGAATATATTATGTTATTTCGCATTATATAGAGTCGCGCATTTTGATGTTTAAACTTTGCCAGTATGTTCTGTAACTAAGAACAAAATTAAAATATTATGTAGCAAAAGTCCATAAATGCTTCGTTAAAAAATTATAACAAAAATATGAAACATGAAACTATATTCTTTTATGTGTACATTTTGAATTTATTGTGATTCGAATTTTATGTTGACTTTGTCGAATTTTTTTGATTTTTAGCAATAATTCATCTTGTGGGAATGTTTCTTTGTTAAAATCTTTTTCTTTCCCACAAGTAGAAATCTAAAGACGTAAAAAGTAATAATGTGCCATATATATTATATTTTACCTTGTGTTAAAATCGGGTGAAAAAATGGAATCTAGATTCCAATCGTAGAACTTTTTCGAAAAATGTTTTTACATTACAAGTCTCGATAAGAACAGATAAGTAAATGTTTTTAAAAATAATAGTTTCATATAGAATAGAACTTATCGTAACAATCACATGTAGCGGGAAAAATATAAGCTCCATTAACAAACATTTACAAACAGCCATCAATACCCTTCAGGACTGGTCAAAAATAACGGGCTTAAAATTTTCTCCCAAAAAAAAAACCCAAGGCATCTTATTTACTAGGAAAACCAAACTCAGTCCCCCAGTTAAACTATATCTAAGTAATCTTGAAATAAAGATCACTGACACCATCAAAATATTAAGCTTTATTTTCGACAAAAAATCTTGGGCGCCAAAAACCTTAAAAGAGTCCTGTATAAAAAAACTTAACATTACCCTTTCCAATAATAACTGGAGAGTGGACAAAGACACTCTTCTAGAAACATACAGAGCGTTAATTAGATCCAAACTAGATTACGGCTCTACCGTTTATAACTCAGCCAAAAGCTCCACCAAAAGAATAATAGAATATCCAATCTCCCACACAGCTCTTAGACTAGCCACAGATACATACCGAACATGCCCCATAAACAGCCTACTATTCGAAGCCAAAGAAATGGTACTTAAATCCAGAAGGAAGTTCCTAACTCTTAAATACGCACTAAAAATCTCCAAATAATCCTTCCTATAAAATTTACACTGACGGGTAAAACGAACTCTGGAGCTGGATACGCCATCATTACAGATAAAGCCAAAATAACACAAAATCTCCCCTCATTATTATCCATCTTCACAGCCGAAACTTATGCTATCCTGGAAGCCATTAAATATGCACACTCAAATAACGAAGCGCAGATCGTTATATACACCGACTCCATGAGCGTTACAAAAACCCTAACGAAATCATATGATCAAGAAAACCAACAATATCCACCATCCAAGAACTAAACCACAACTAACACAAACGCCACAGTCATCTGAATTCCAGCTCATCAAGAAATAGAAGGAAATGAAAAAGCCGACGCAGCAGCGAAAGAAGCCACAGTTCCCTCACTTACTAACAATCGCAACCATCTTCCAATCCCCTGCGACGACCAAATAATCCATTGCAAAAAAGTAGCAAAAAATGAATGGAACAATACATGGAAAACAACTAAAAGCACCCAACTACACAAAAGTATCCAAGACTTTCACCAGCAAACACCAAACTTTAACAATAGGAAAGAAGGAATAATTATCACACGCCTAAGAACCGGTCGTACCAAGCTGACACATGAACACAAAATCAAAAAAACTATACCACCCTGCACTCATTGCAATAACCATTCATTAACAATAACTCACATACTGCACGAATACCACACCACAGAAACCCAAAGACAGAAATACGGAATCAACGCAAACATAAATCTGATTTCTCAAAATGACATACAAAGAGTATGAAAATATCTCAAAAACATAAACTACTACACACATATCTAATGGCACCGTCGTCGCTAATGACCTTACTGTCGATATGACATTAAAGAAAAATAAAAGAAGAAGAAGAACTTATCAAATATAAAAATAAAAATTTTTAGTTTTATTTTCCTGTGGAAGGAATAAACAGATAATTTGTTCATCAATATTTAAAAAGTTCTCAATATTTATAGTAAATCCTGACATTGAATATTATTCAGTGAATAGTACTTGAATATAAAAATGGATTTTTAATTAAATATTCTAAAATAACTTGTTTCCATGAAACTTTTATTATTCAGATTCTAAAATATTTGCTCCATGAGAACACTATTCAAAAGTATTCCTAAATGTAACACTTTTTTAAATAAAAATTCTACGAAAACAAATATTTTACAAAACAAATATTATACAAAATGTATAACTTCGTAACAGAATTTAAAAAAAAAGAATGTTAATTTCGATTTGTGGTTAAAATTACGTATTTGTCACGTTTCATATTTTGATTACATTTTTATATTCGTCACAAATTAAATATTTATGAACTTTTTGCTATATGATATTTTAGTAATATATTTTTCTTATATTATCTGTAAAACACAGAAAATTTGAATATTACAATACGGAACACTGTGTATAATATCAAAGTGACTCATTGTCAATATTGGCTGGGATTAAATAAATAATTTTTACAAATTATGAGTCATTGTTAAATCCATTAAAAATTTCTGATGCTACATCAATAAAAATATATTATAAGACATCGTTGTAAAATATACATAAGATATCTTTCTTTTTTCAGGGGAAATTATGTTTCTTGCATGGGGTATTAAAGTGTGTTACAACGTTCGCAACGCAGAAAGTCTCTTTAACGAGGCCCGTTTAATAAGCTACGCTATTTACAATATAGCAGCTGTGAATATAACCATGATCGCTATTCAGTATGATTTTTCATCTTTACTATTTGTTCCCAACATTACTATAACTTAAAATTTAAATTTTGTGACTTTTTGCAGTCTTTTCATTTTTCCTCATGCTGGCCCAGATATCAAGTATTTATTAGGTTTCTTACGTACACAGCTGTCTACTTCTGTCACCATATTTCTTGTATTTGGACCCAAGGTAATCTAATTATTTTTTTATCACTCTTTTCCCTATAAGGTAAAATAATATATTGAGTTTTGAAACAATTCAACAAGCATCATTTAATTGATCAGTAATAAACGTTATTTAACTATAGGTGCTTCGAGTTTTACGAGGTCAAGGTGATCAATGGGATAGTCGTGCTAGAGCCCGTGGTGTTACAGCGAGTTTCTCATTAAACGGGATCGGCCTTGTATCCGAAGAAGCGACTGATTTACATCAGGAAAACGAGGAACTGAAGGTATATTATTCTAGGTCACATGATTTTTATATTTATTCATTTATATATTATATTTATTCATTTATTTATTTCATTTATATATTATTTATATTTTTTATTTTATATTTTTATATTTATAATTAAGCACAATGATCATCAACGAGAATTTATTTATAATAATATTAATATAGTACAGTAATATTCTTCAAGAATATCTTATTATTTTACCATTTTTTTAGAAGCCTAAACTTTTCATTCCGTTATTTATTTTTAAAATAACGGAATGTTTTAACTCTCTATAGCCAGAATTTTATTTGCAAAAGAAAAAGATTCTAATTACTTACTTTAATTTAAAATTTGAGAACTAATAATTATTATGAATAAATCATTTGAGATTTTTATTTGGTGTTACCAATGAAATTTATAAGCGATATGATAGTAATATAATAATTCTTCCATTTATGCGGACTTTTAGCGTACAATATTAATTTACACGGTCAGAAATGTTTTTTTCTAATTTTTATTCAATTTACTACATATTCGGATAATTTTAATTGAGAAGATTTGGAGACGTACGAAAAATCCTCTAAATCGCCTATTTCACTAGTTTAACCATCATCGAATTGACGGACAGAACAGTAACAGAAATATGGCAACCATGTGAGATGAACCTTTCAGATTTTGGCAACTATACTTTTATCAAGAAATTCGAAACTCATTACCTGTGTCCCTTTAACTCGTTATTCTTTTGTCATAATACGCACAGTAGCGAAGACAATTGGGTGAATGTGTAGATTGACTACTCCCCCAATTTCGATGATTTTTGATTGTATTGTGAAGGTATTTTGAATAATATTCATTGAATGGTCTTTTAACGGCAATAAATGTCCTTCAATGATCTTGAAACGCCAAATATAGTAGTGCCCTTAAAAGTGACCACACTTTTGACTTCGTAAGCGTCCGTCTCTCATCTCCACCAATTTTTAGAATTGGGAATATCCCCACTCTACGCTATCTTACCGTGCGGCCGCGTGACATACTCGCACAACACAAAATAAATGATATATGATACCAATATTTCGGCACATTATGATTGTTTTAGATACATCCATCAAAGTTAGGCAAATTTTATTTAAAAAAGTAAGTACAGTAGTCCTTGCTTAAGTAATTGCTTCATTTTCATAAGTATTACGAATTGAATATTTCCTTAATATTAATATTACATTAATAATTATACTAAATTATACATTAAATAATAAGAATAAATAATGGTAGAAATATTACAGAAAAAAATAATAATAAAAAGAGCAAATAAAAATTATTTTAAGTTGTAATAATCTATTATAGATTTTGCATGATTTGCAATTCCTGGTTCTGTTGCAATAATTTTTCGTAGATAATGTAACAATTTGTCAGTTTCTTCTGCTTCTATTGGATTCACAGAAAGCTGCGAATGAGAAAAGTTTTCTGCATCTGTCTTTTTGGTAGCATCTTCTCTAATTCATTCTGCTTCTCCACTCCATTCATTGATCCACTCTTTTTCATCAGAAATTGTTTCACATGCTACATCACACGGAGCAGTTTCTGTTGAAAAAGTGACAAAATGCGTCAAGTTTTTTTTAATTTTTTAACTGTTTCTTGATTAAGGAGGTAATTTACTCTACTATTACTTCAGGAATTGAATATATTCGCAGCAGTCATAGTGGCCCATGTTTCATTTATTACATCTATACAATCTTGTCGTGACTGACTTCAACAAAGTGTAAAAAATATATATATTTTTTAAGAACTAGTCATTTTGACTGGTCACGATAAGACTTTCCTAGATATAGCAAGTATGAGTAGATCTAGTGTTAACAACTACATACTTTTATAGGAATTTCAATAAATTTTCAAGAAATTTAGATTAATTAAAATCATTTGATAATTATTGCTTTATTATAATTTATTGTCTTATTTAGTTTAAAAGTATATATGTATTAGGTTTAAAATGGTTTAAATATATTCAATTTTAAAAGAAGTTAAATTCCTTTAACTTTGAATGTTAAATTATTAAAACGTTAAATTTCTTTACAATCTTTAATAATTTAGTAAACAATACTGAAAATCGCCGTATGTGCCTGGTATCGGTATAACAGTTAACGTCCATCTTCACTCTTTCTTTCGATGCCAATTCGCAGAACACACAACTCCTCTTAAGCGTCCGCTTTTGGTCCCGACTGTGGAACCAAAAGCGGACGAGGGCACTATATATTTAAATCGATAAATTCATCATGAAACGGTCTACATGTTCGAGTAAAAATTTAAAAAAATGAAGATCACCCTGAAATCTCGGAGGCATGTTCACCTAAATAAAATGGTCATTATAAGATGTTTCCTTCAAAACATTGTAAATTTTATTTGAAACATTTCTTTCTATAACGAATAGTTTAAGAAATAGTTACATGACTCACTTTAAATAGGACATCTCGTATATTATATGACATTATATATATATATATATATATATATATATATATATATATAATTATATTTGTTTCTTATAATAATTGGGATTAGGAGGAAATAAATCTTTTACTGCCAGCAATGTATGCTAATATATACGAAAACGAGATTTGAAGCTTATTTCCCAAGTCATAAAAAACTCTATTTTACGCTAAAAATATTAATCATTACCATTAATTACAGGAAGAAATTCAAAAATTAGCAGCGCAAATAGAATTTATGAAAATCGTACATATGGAAATGTACAATCGTCACATAAAACCGAAAGCAGGTGGATATTTCACTACTCATGGGCATAGTCACAGTCATCCGTCCTCGGCACAGAGTCCCATTGCCAAAAGTTCGACAGCCAGTTTTATATTGAAAGTATGTACCTAACTCGTCTTATTCATTCGAGGCGTGTTTCTATTAGAGCTCTTACTAACAGGATTACCTAATAGTCTTTAGAGTACTTGTTATGACCCAAACTTCGTTTCGATTCAAATTTAACTTGAATGTAAGTACTCGTGTATCCAAACTGAATATTCAAATTTCTTACTCGAATGTAAAACTTTTTATATATTCAAACGAAACGTAACTTATTTCAAACAAAACGTAATTTATTAATTCATTAAATTATATTGTATATATCGTTATGTATTTACATTAAATTTATTGTTAATGCAATAATAAATGCAACTTATTAACCTTCGATTCAAAAATATAAAAGCGCATTATTTCAAACATCTGAATTATGCTTAAGGTGAAAAAAATTTATAATATAATATAATCATGTTTTAATTGTATTTTTATATAATATGATATAATATATATCGGTTTTTCTAATCCAATTTCAAATATTTAACAAATACTTTAATCAAATAATTAATAAAGGAAATATCTAACAAATACTATAATCAAATAATTAATAAAGGAAAACAAATTATTGAAGTTACATTCGAGTTATATTGAATATTTTGAGTACTTAGATATTCAAACAGAACGCGCTCATTGAGTGTCCAAGTTTAAATTGAGTAAGCTTCAACATATTCCGATATATTCAGATATTCAAATCAAGATTAAATAAGTGTTCTCAAATCTGGATACTCAAATCTGAATTACGTGAACACTAGCGGACAAAATTATGGCATTTTATATTTTTGTAAATTTCGTATATTTAAAAGAAAAACTTTATACATCTTGTATATAGACATATGCATGCTATCTACAGACAACAAAATCTCAAATTCATATGATTAACGGGAAAATTAGAGAAAAAAATATGAATATAAATTGATATTAGTTGAAAAAAATTGACATTGGTTAGCCTATTTTTTGCTTTTTACAATTTCTGTCAGTAATTATTCGACTATGAATGTTACTTCGAATTTTAAAGGAAATACAAAATAAAATCTACATTTTCATTTATCAATTTTATGTAGGTATTTTGCAAATATCTAAATAAGCTCAACAGTTTCATAGATAAAGTGAATAAAATCTCTATCTCTTAAGAAATAAAAAATGCTTACAGAGTCTAACGTGATTTTGTGAATCTGTGACTTCTATAAAAATAAAGAAATAAGAAATATAGAAACGAGTACCCATTGGGATCAAATATACGAAATTTAGCTCGAATGTGTAAAGTCTTATATTTATAATTATAATTTTGTCCATCAATGAATCATCAAAAATCAGGTAGCTCAGAGAAACAGTAAGAACTTTAGTTTTTGCTCGATGTAAATAGAGCAGATCGAGAACATATTGAAAAATACAGTCAAGTAAATTATTGAGCAGACGGCCGTGGAGCGAGGTGCGAGTGCGGCCGCGGCTGCCGCGGTCGAAGATTCTACTTTTCCTTCTGGAAGCTTGCATCGGGCACGTAGGATGGAATTCCTTAGAGAGCGCAAAGCTGAGAGGGAAAGAGAACGGGAGAAAGGGCGGGAAAAGGAAAGGGAAAAGGAAAAAGAGAAGTACAAAGAAAAATATGAGAAGGAGAAAGAGAAAGAAAAGGAGAAGGAAGGTACAGCGAAAGAAAAAGAAGCAGAAATGGAAAGAGAGAAGAATAAAGAGAAACAAGCAGAGAAAGAAAAAGAAAAGCAGGATAGAAAGCAAGAAGAGAATGTTGAAACAGGCGGAGAAGTCTGACTAGTACTGAATAGCGAAGAGGTAAGATTCATTTATTTACTTATAAATATTTTATTACCATTTAAAGATACGCGTAGATAAACATGATATATTATACTACTATAAATGATTTCCAAAATTATAATCATTCAATATGGACGTATTAAAAGTCACTATAAATGGCATAAATAAATGATTAATAATTCTGAATAAAAGAAGATTTTTTGTATTTATTTAAATTTTCTTTACTAACAATGTGATAGAAAGTAATAATACATATTTTAAGGCAAAGCCTTCAAATTGCGACTTTTAACTAAATTTTCGAATTATATTTATTTTGTTAAATCGTGAAGAGTGTTGCATAATGCACCTTATATAATTTATATTAGATTCGATCACATTTTATTTAGAACAAAATAAAAGATAACAATTTGAAATAATGAATTTCAACTAATTTATAATATTATTCTTATTTTAGAGATAACATAATAAATAAGAAAATAAATATATCATCTCCAAATAACTTCCTATTTGAGTTAATTTAATCATTATCAATTATAATAACAAATATTGTGACATAATAAGTTATAATGAAATTATCCATATTATTAATAATATTAATGTGTATACAAGAATTACAAATTTGTTTTTAAAAAAATTATTTGAATAAAAATTTATTCAAATACGAAATAAAAGATAAAATAAAAAGTTATTTCGTTTAAAAAACGAATAGTGAAATAATCTAAAGAAGAATCATTTTCATATTCAAATAAACTAATGCATAATTATATCAAATAACATCTGACTAAATAAGAATAACGTCTAAGTTTATTTAAGTCAGATGTTTCAATTTGTACTTGTTGAAATCTTGTTGGAATTTTAATATGTAATTACTATCTTTAGATATGGTTATGACAAACGCGAAGCGCTAAGAAGAATAGAAAAATGAAAGATAAATATGACTGGGAGGATAAAAAACAAAAGAAGCAAAGGAAACTTAAATGGTATCCTTTAATAGACAAAAGGCGTTCATGGTTTGTATAAATCAAAGAACTATCTAATCAGCAAATAGTGAATACTAAATCCGTATAACGTGTCATTTGCTTGTGGTGGCAATGTCTCCTTGTTAGCTTTATTGTAAATTATTTATGTGACCACCAAATGATACCTCGTTGTACGAAAAGAATGCATATTGTATGTATAACGACGAGATAGTTGTTAACGGTACAGTTATACAAGATTTTTATTAATTTCGTTACTACGCGATAAACGTAACGAAATTCTCATTATTTCAGTAACTATAATTGCGACTGTAGTAATATTACTCTTAGGTAAATATATTGTCCTGAGATACCTGTGAAGTAGAAGAGCGAAAATTGTATTTCTTGTTATCAAAACAATCACCTTTGTGATTCACGTTAACAAAATCATAAGTTGTGTAGATCTATCTGAATAGCTCACAAAGAATTAATAATTAGTTATTTTTCACTTTAACATTTACTTCTAATATTGACAAATATACTTTGTTTTAGAATGATATATGGTTTCTTAAAAACACAATTAAGAAAATAACAAAAAGAAAAGAATTGTTTAATATACGTATAATGTTTAATGTGTCAGAATATAATATATCGGTACATGTTATTTCCATAGCTAGAACAACAGACGATGGCATAAATGAAATAATTTTATAATAATTATTCGATTATAGTATTTTTGTTTCGCGTCAACAAAAAGGTCGATTATGTGTTTCTCTGTTAGAATAAAGAAAGATATAAATGGAAGCGTTTTTAAAAGTTTCGATTTATTACGAAAGTAATCTTTCTTTTTTTAAATTACAAACTGTAACATGTATTACATACATATGTATAGCATTTGTAATCTAATTGTAGTTTTAATTTCCGACACTGTTACCTGAGTATGTGAAAATCACATACGGATTTATGTCAACAAATGCAATCATATCACAATTCATACCGAGTAAAAATTGAAATTATCAATTGTCCGCTTTAATCAATAGCGTTATCTAAACATTCACTCGATATAAATTTCTAAGGTGTAACAGCTATTGCAAGTTATAATAACATACAGATAAGAAAATACAAAGAAGCGTAAATGATAATTACATACAATAAACATACCATTATTTGATACAACTCATGACATGTATTGACACTTGTTTATTTCTTTATAACTATACACGATGCATTGAGTAAGACAAAGTATGTATATATTTTAAATTGTTTACTTTCCTGCCACGAATTAAAATTAAGACAATTTTCATGACGCACCAAAGTTACAAAAATCTTGAAATAAATTTGGAAGTAGTTCTATAAGGACGGATAAGAGTTCTTATATGACGAATCGATGAATTGCAAATGTTCGGTATAAAATGTCGTGTTGTTTAAGAGCAATATTGTTAATTAAAAAATTAAACCTTGTATTTGAAATGCAAATTGGAACAGAATCTGGCAAATGATATTATCGGCTTTGTCGATATATCGACAATATTCACACACTCGCGAGCGTGCTATTTACGCATGTATATGTATAGATGTGTGTATGTGCATGCGTGTGTCATGTGAGAGTGTAAAAATTGCTTCAAGCGTACAAACGCACTTCCAAACCTTGACTTTTATAAAAAAAAAAAAAAAAAAGAGATGCGTTTCTAACTAAATTGAAGATCACGATAATCACAATTACTCGTACCGATTACAATTTTGTAATTCTTTTGTTCGTTTCATTCCAATTACAATATGAGATACTATTCGTACACACTGTAAAGGAACTGTGCGAATAATAATCGAGTCGCCTCGTAAAAATATCCTATTAGACGTAAATTGAGAGAAATGCGAGAGGCATATGATAGTTGAAAGTAAATACAGAATAAAAACATCGTTGTATCGCACAAAATATCGATAAGTATTGAGCACATAAAGCATTTTATTATATGATTGGAGTGTGAAAATTCACTTGAAGATACGTCAAAAGATATATGCATTTTATACGACAATAAGATAAAATTTAAGGTATGTTCTTGTTACTAGTGACACACAAAGCAGCTCGCAATTTGTAATTACTGAAACGACTTGCGTTATATATGATTTCGACCCTGATCATTAAAGACTCCGAACACTATTAAAATACGAATGTATGTAACGCAAATGTTTTATAATCACAGCCTGTACGTGGCAATTTTGTATTTCGTACAGTGCACCTGCTAAAATACTATACTCAAAATGCAATGCGTTGACTGCCATGCGAAATTTATGTGAATTTTTGCCTACGAGAGAGAACATTTAATTTTTGTGAAATATTATGTCATAATAAGAGTGCAATGAAAGCATATTTTTTATTTCAAGATATAATCTTATTTATATTACTACTAAGTTATACTATTTGTACTCTTTAAACTATTTAAACTCTTTCTCGATGATATTCATCTTATTTTGCTCATTCTAAAATATTCATAAAGTTAGAAACACCAGTCACTGATGACTATCATAATAGTCGATATATTAATTCGTAACACAAATTTTACTTTTTAATTACTCTAACGATTTAATAAATTCAATAAATTAATCAATTATTAACTGATTTTACAAACTCTATCGCGTGCTATCTGTTATCATTGGAAATAACACGTAAAACTGCATATATTTGACTGTTTAACGAAATTGCTATGTATAGCAATTGATCGTCGAGTAATAATTCTGCGTTATATTTCACAGCATGTTAACGTGTTGCAATATTATTCGCACGAGCCTGCCCAGCTTATGAACTATGTATAAATAAAACACGTAATGAAAAAAAAGATTGCATTATGGATCAATTTAAACGGTGACTATTTTACATTCTTTGGAAAATTTCAGTTCTCACGATAGATATTATTACGTAGAAGAAATTTATCACTGTTTATGTCCAAGATATTTATCGTATGTATCACCGTTGTTGAACTTGTATGTTTGCTTGCTTATCTGAATGACACACATAAATTAGTAGTCGTAATCAAGACATTTTTATTCGAACCTTGAGATAATACATGTACAGTGGACAAATTGTTTTTCTATTTTGTTTTTAATTTACGTACTATCTAATTTAAATTTCATAGATTAATTTTAAAGAAGACTTTTGTTTAATTCTAAAAAAGAAAATGTTATTATTTTAAATTACTATGTTATACACACACTGCCGCTCAAAAATTTAGGACATGTTAGAACGTGTTAAGAACGGACTTGTTCAAGTAAAGAAATATTTTATTCATAAGATTATATTTTTATCTTTAATATTTAGCTTTAATATTTTTATAGTATTGGAACTTTACGTTTATATTAATTGTATTTAAATCAAATATTTAAAAATCAAAGTTACAATTATAATATTCTTATTTCTCAGAAAAATACATATATGAAAAAGTCTGTTTCGCGCAAAGAGCAAAGGTTTCTTCAATCTTTTGAGCAGGAGTGTAGCTATATATTAATATTCGATAATTTTTAAAAATTTTAATAGGTTGTAATACATGAAATGTTCAATTTCGCTGTATTAATTTTCTAAATTCTCTTTTTTTTTACGAATACTTGTACTTTTGAGAATCTTCTTTTTCACACATGATTAAAATCTTTTAATTTTTAATCGGACATTTCATATGTTAAAACCTAATATATACTACACTAATTCATCGGAGGAAAATAGCTTTAAGAATAATCGCGTCGATACAAGCCAATTAGACCGATTTCGATGATAAGAACGTACGAAATTCCGAGGAATGGAGAAATTGATAGTAGGGATCGTCCAGATCGAATTTGTCTCGAGAAACAGAACTTGTCGTATACATTTGTATGTGCAAGTAAACTGTAAGTAATCTAATATTAAAACAGTGTTAATAGCTGGTAACTTGTTATGGCTTAAAAAATAGAATAATTTTAAAGATAAAAAATCGAATTGTTTGACTCGATGAAAAAGTACGGACAAAGAGTAAATAAATTAAATTTTTTTCATTTCGCAGAAAAAATATTATTAACATATTCGAGATCGATGATGTAACTTCTGCATCAATCTATTTCTTCACTCGTCAATAAGCAAAGATGCAATGTCTGCGTCATTAACTAAAATTGACGTTATTATTTATTGTCAGTTGTTGGATTGCAATCGAAAAACTCATTTTATTAATGAGGTCCTTAAGGTATTGTATAATGATTGAGTTTAACATTATATAAAAATATACAAATATATAAATGAGTATGTTACAAGCAGAATGGTTAACATATAAAAATAGTGACACATACGGTGCGTTAACCAATTATGTAACAGAAAAATAACTTCGTATATCCAATGACGCTTATATATATATATGAGACATTTATTTAATAAAATTTAGAATGTTAAAATATAATTATCTTCAACACGAATTTTATAGCTATATTAATACCGTAAGAGGAAAACTATCGTCAGCTATTAGCGATAGTGTTGCAAAATCCACTGATCTCAAATATGTTAAAATATGAAATACTTTAATAGTAATGGAAACAACATAGTTTGAAAGGTCAATATCTTTACTTTATGAATCTTTTTTTTTTCCTTTATGAATACAAAATAAATGTTACAAAAGTTATAAATACATTATTATCAAGTAACTTTCTTATTTGAAAAATATAGTATGGATGTAGGTAACACTCAAACGATAATAATAAAAGCAAAGAAATCAAAATGATAAATTTAGGTACATGATGTAAGCAAATAATGTCTGCAGAAAACTCATAATCATTCGTCAAAGAAACGTGTGATGTGTTCAAAGACATGATGCGTTTCTTCTTTAATGCAGTTACACGAGTGCAATCAATAGAAATAAGAAATAGGGCAGAAAACAGAAGGATAAAAAGAATATTATGCTTTCGATGTCGTCGTTGTAACTTAAATGTAAGGTTAGTTAAAGAAAGAAAGAAAAGCGCTATAAAGTAAATCGATGTTAGAAAAATGCTAATTCACTAAGATTGTGTTTACTAATTGAATATTATAGTTGCGATATGATATCTCTCGAGACCGATCTCGAACTCAGACGATTCTTCTCCATAATTTTTTATTAATGGGATCGGATATAATGATATTAGCATACAGTTTGACGCTATGTAACCATCGTAAAATCTGATGAACAGCAGGTATATGATTCTGCTAAACGGAAAAATATATTCGTAATTTTTCCCATTCGACCCTTGAAAAAGTCTGTGTATAAACGAGAAAACATATTTGTAAAAATATATTGTATGTCAGAGAATATAATGATAATTGCGAGTAACAAGAAAAATAATGCTCTTTGATGTTCTTTTGTACCTAATTTTCAATTACGTAGAGTATCCCACATTTCTTTTTTTACATAATATACTTTATGAATGAAAATGAGAAGGAAACGTTACATAAATATTGGCATGTATATAGCTTGTTAAAAAATTATAACATAATATAACAAGTTCTTTTGAACCGCTTTTAATAGAAATGTACTGAATGTTAACTATCACATATAAAAGTTATCAAATATATATCATTATATTTATTTATATAATTTACCAATAGAAATGTACTAAATGTTAGTTAACTATCACATATAAAAATTATTATCAAATATGTGTCATTATATTTATTTATATAATATATAATCTATTACATTTTCAAAAATTTTATATTACAAATATTTGAATCGCGGATTATTATTATAAATATGTTAAAACGTGCGGCAAAATGTTAAGAAACGATGGCATACAGAAAGAGATTGGTAATATTTACAATAATTTCATCTTAACTCTCATACATTTCTCATTTTTTTCAATTTAATTTGTCCCTATCAAATAATGAAAAATGAATAACCATAATGAAAAGATAAATAATTAAATTTGCAAATTCTTTTAAATTCGCAAATTAAATTTGCAAATGAAAAAACTAAATTTCTATTTAACTATTTGACATCCTATTCTTACATATAAGTATTTCATCTTATCTTCTGTAGTTTCATCTAACAATAGTTTGGATTTTCATTTGTTACAACCATGTACAGAATCGAAGATATCTACACGAATCTTCATTGAATGTATAATTATATAAATTTATAATAATTAGAAGATGATATACTGTCTATGAAGAAACTAGAAAATTATTCTTAATTTTCTTCTTTATTTTTAACAGTAGAATACCACCCGACATATATGTATATATATGTATGTATATCGTTCAATTTCAATTCAATAACATTTATCGTAAAATGTCGAAAATATTCTAAAAGAATTTACTGTAATAAATTAATACAATTGCAATATATTATACTCTGAATTTCATTAGCGTATAAATTTCAAACTTCATTTATTCGCTACAAGTAACATATTTTTCATATATGATACATATACGTGTGTACAAAAATTACTTGCAAATATTAGGAAAAGCATTAATATTTTTTATGTGTAATTGTGAATAATTGTTATATATAGTTCTAGGTCACATAATAAATATTTATATATATATATATATATATATATATATATATATATATATATATATATATATATATATATATATATATATATATATATATATATATATATATATATATGCCACAACTCATCCAGCTATTTTACTTATTACATTTTAAAACTATACAAATACTATAAAAAATACTAAAAATACTAAAATGTTTATGTTATCTGGAAATATCAAAAGATATAAAAGAAGGTATCAATTAAAATAGACATTGACTTTAGAATTTATTTACACATGCTACACAATATACACTGTAAGATATGAAGACGCGCGTACGACCTTCTGGACACTAATGGATTGCACCAAGTACTCGTAAATTGCCGCGGCAGACCAAAGAGTCGTATCGCTGAAATAATTGCACATTGCCATAATAAAAGTTATAATGCAGGAGGTATAACACTGGTAGATCGAGCAACAAGAATTTAACGAAACAAAATGCAATTCGTACAACAACAACAACCGATGTTACAGAAAGATACAATTCGGATGGCATCAACACATACTATGTAATATGTTATTCTATATTATTCTATAAAGACTGGTTTTTGTAAAATTTATCAAAATTAATGGTCGATTCAATTTCCATACTTGCAATATCGTTTCGTTTTTATTTTATACTTAAAACATGGAATCAATGGTGATTTGCTATTTTCTTATCAATAATTTTCTCATAAGAGAAAAAATTAACGAAAATGTATTTTTTTAACGTAAAAGTGGATAAACAAATGGCAAATTGATGCGAATAAATAACAATATCGATAAATATAAATGCATATTATTCCATATTTTAAGCATCAAATTGTTTCATTTAGTCAAAATCACCGAATTACAGTTGTTTAAATAAACGCAATTATATCTATTTATAAAATTATAAAAACAAAAACACAAAAAACATTGATTAATCGAAAGTCGTTCAAGAAGCTACATTATTGTATCTGAATAGAGAAAGAAACAAAAATAGATTAACAAGTTTCATTAGTATGAACGGAAAAGAATTACTTCCGCCAATTTTTGAACGTTATATCTATACTGCTATTTCTCTTATTTTCTTTTATAGTACGACAGGCACACACACTTACGCACATGTATATTCTAATATTTGGACATTTGTACTTGACGTGTTTAATAATCGCGTGTATAACAAAATATTTGAAGCTACATTTCTTTTTTCGGCTCTAAGAATTGTTGAGCCTCATCTACGCATAGATGTAGTTTGCACTGCCGTACATTTAACTGCATATATTTTATAATTATAAATTCAGAGAAATATATTCCTTCAAAAGAATTTCAACGCTTTGCGTTTGCATGAAAAGTTGAAAAGAAAAATGTTGCTTTCCTTCTTATAATATGATGGACATTAAAACATTTTTTAGGCATTTAAATAGTTCCAACTTTTGTTAGGCCTATATTTAAAGGCGTATATTAGAAATATAAATACATATATTGGTTTTGCTGCACAACAATCGAAATAATATAGTTGAAAATAATGAATCTTTTTAAATATTGAAAAATTATTTAAAGATATGTATATAATTGAATAACAAATAAATATAGAAAGAATATCAAAACGAACTAAAAAATGAATAACACAATATGCATTTACGTAATAAAATATTTCCCTAAATTGATAATTATCTTCGTATTCTAAGAACGCAAATAAATTCTGTAACTTAAGCTTTAATCAGTTAAACAGTTTCACAATGCAAACCATACCACAGTCTCCCAGCTTAAGTAATTTGGTCGAGTTCTCAACATAAATTTTTTTTCCTAATCTTATCATACGATAGAAATATCGTATTATACGACAGTGAATCGTCGTAGAATTCGACTTATCAGTACCTAAACAACCATCTTAGAAAATGGGAGATAAAAATTGTTTATTATTTTTCTACATGGCCTGTGTTCACCATCAGTTAGTCTCACATCTAACATAGGTGCTTCAGGTACTCTTTTGAACAAATTTCTATTTAATCTATAACAAGAATACCACGAATCTTAATAAATAAATATCTACGAAAGTCAAAATTATTTGGTAAGTTTCCTTCATAAAGTTATTTCGTTTCTATGACGAGATCGAAAAAGGACACGCGCGATGTACATAAAAAACGAGGGACACGAATTTTAAGTGTCAAAACTATATTATACGTTTATAAATAAAAAATAAATTTAATAAGTTCGCATGATTTTATACGCAATTATTATTTGTAGTATTACTTATAAGTGTTATTTCTTTAAAAAATACGTTAGATATTTTATGCTATTTATTGAATGCCTATTTATAGAAATCATTTTCAGTTGTTTCTTAATTCTTACATGAATTTTGAATGACTTGTTGCACGTGTAATAAACCAATTTATTTATACCTTAAAACGGTAATCTAAATAAACATTGCACACTTTTCATATGAGTTATGTAAATATCGACATCATGAACTGATTTTACAGTGACATAATTTTAAAGAATATACAAAAGTCAAACAAATATTGTATAAGACGAGTTGTATAAGAGTAACAATCGTTTCACAACAATCACTTTCATTCCATTAGCGTTTCAATTTGAAATGACAATTTCTAATTAATGTTCTTGTATACAGTGAAAATGTTTCCAGTACATATCGTTGCATATTTATCTTACGTATGTATATAAATATGAATTATAACTTTTAACCAATTTACGATCTTATTTATTTATTTCACTAATTCAAAGAATACAAATTTTCTTTGGGAAAGAATGAACATCGAGAATCAAGAATTATATTGCACGTAAAGTTTTGTTAGCATCTCAAAGTATGCTAATGAATTTATAGTTTATATTTATCTCACTATCAAACGTTGAATGAAGAAAGATCAAGAAAAGTATTTAGATCGTATCGTTGATCGAAAAAGCTCAGTAATTTCCATCACTTTTTAATCACGTGATTTCTTACCCATAGAAAAATATTTTTTGTAAAAGCACGGAAGATAATAAACGGAAATTACTTAAACAATATCTTGACCATTTTCAACTTGACAGCCATAATTGTCTTTATCTTTGTTTATGTCCTTATCCTTATCTTCGTTTCCTTCTTCCGCAGCATCCTCTTCTTGCTCTTTGATTTTTGCTTCATTTTCAGTGGAAGCGAAATCTTCATTTTTGTCCGTCGCATTCGCCGAATGGGATTTGTTCAAGAGAGAACTAAATTCGCCGAATTTTAAAATTTCTTCCATGGCCGACTGTTCTAAATTTACCTGCTACAAATTAATAATATTAGTATCTGCTCGTACAAATTCTTACTAAAATAGTCAAAATATTTTTGAATTACTTTCAAACTATTTAAGATTTACTTAAAATAGAATTTTTAAAATAGCCAAAATGAAGCAAGAACAAAAAAAGGTAATATAAATATTTACAAAAGTTTATGTTTTACAAATTTCGATGATCTTAAAAAATACAATGGTATGAATATTTATAAATTCATCAATATACATAGATATCCACATGATTTTTATTAAGAGATAGTTTCTTAAAAAATGTAACATCTTTATGCGTATCTTTCCACTTTCAGATCAAACTTGAATTATTGCATTGTAATTGAAAACGTTTCGCTATTTACAGCGATGAAGCTATTGTCTCTGAGTACTATCTATTTAACGGCCAGAGAGAACATTGGTAATTGCTTGTTTTGATCATAATTTTCTTTCCTTTTTCCAAAAAAATTACTAACTACATTTTGCAATATAATGTCTGTAACTTCTCACTGCAACATTTTATCATGTCGCAATATTCGTTCTATTTCTACATTCGCTACATTCGCTGTTCTATTTCTCTTAATTTATAATGCATTATAAATTAAGAATTATTTATAATTTATACAACAAAAATGGAGATGAATTTTTTGTTCCACATGAATACGAAGTAATCACGTATGCATTATGATTTGATTTTCAATAAATCTATGTTTATTCACAACTATAATACTAAATAATTACTTTTGTGTAATACTAAATAATTACTTTAATGAATGACTGCAGATTTTTATGCATTTATAGGAAATTTTAAACTACAAATGTGGATAAAATGCATATAATAAGAAAAAATATATAAAATAGTCATTTTATATATTTATTTAATATGTAATATTTATACGTATATGATATTTAGTACATAAAACAACTTTTTACCAAAATTCTATTTTAGAAATTGTACATTTAAAATTATATATGAAGTTACATAAAACTCCGCAATCTGCTAATAAAAAATTAGAAAATAATTCTTGCTCAAATTAAAACACATCCTGAAAAATTAAAATGATAAATTTAAAAATTTATTATTTTTCTATTCAAGAAATTTTCCAGAATTCTCTCTGAGCCTATAATTATCTACTATATGTTGTCAGAGGTCACGATTCTGAATAATTATGTGTAAAAATATTTTTAACATTTGAATTAAATTTATATTGATTTTAGCTGGTAATAAATAAAAATAATAATTACAATTTATATGATAATAAATAAAAATAATAATTACAATTTATTTTGGTAATAAATAAAAATAATAATTACAATTTATATGAAATTTTGTAGTATATAATTTCTGTTATTAAAAATTTTTCAGTTATAATATTTAAAGATACAATTACAGAAGTTGATCGTAGTTTGAACGGAATATTTTGTCATATACTGTATAATATTTCTAGCACGATTGATAATATCAGTAAAATTTACTCTTTTCTCTTATTTGTATAAAATTCTGTAAAAGAATTTTTTCTTTATTTCTACAATTAAATTTAAATCCTATCTAAAATAATATAAATTGAAATTTAAACTTTAAAAATACAATAGATATATCCAAACAATAAAAATATTCGTGTACTCGATGAAAAATTATCAATATTTTAAATTGTTTAAACTTCATGAAACAAAATCATGTAATAATCCAGTTGTCTTCATTTTAAAGTGTAAAACCTCTACTTTATCAACTTTTCTTTTTTTCCAAAGATGTTTTCTTGTTATGCAGCAAATAAAACAGTAAAGTCTTTTGTTGTCAAAAATTGAAAAAATTTAAATCTTTTGAAAATCTGTGAAAAATTTTTTTCATGACTAGATTCATCATCATAATCTTGAAGACTAAAATCTTCTTTTTATATCAATCTCTTAAAACTTGCTGTATAATCTTCCTTCGTTATTTTAACGGATCTTGAATATCGGAGTTAAACGACAAAAATTCCAAAAATCCTAACATATTACCATTTAATTCTAACATTCAAAATTCAATAAAAAGAGAAACTTCACGACCATGATAGATTTCACAACTTTCAAACTTCACGATCATGATAGATTTAGTCTTAAAAAAAGTTTTTTAATTTTTTCAGAGGTATTTGAATTTTTATAATTTTTGAGAACAAAAGTATGCGTACTTTTCCACTTGCTATATAATGTAAAAATATCTTTGAAAAAAAAAACGACGTAGAACTCTCAGAATGGAAGCTTTTTCACACTTTAAAATAAGACCAAATAAATTGTTATATGATCTTTTTTTTTATAAAATTATAACAGTTTAAAATATAGACAATATAGAAAATATAAAATATAATATATACAAAATATAATTTTTTGTCAAATGTGATCGTCTACTTCTGTAAAGTACAAAATACTTTTTGAAAATTAAAAGTGAACGACAGTTATGCATACATGTGTGTAAGTTAGTTACTGTTAGGATATTGACTTTATAACATGATTTTAAAATCATCGAAATCGACAAGGTGTACTTCTTTATAAATTATCATAATATCTATATGCCATCGTGAATAAAGAACTTATATAACATTTATACAAAAGAAAATAAGTTAAAAATACGCGTCCTTAATAATAATAAAAAATAAAAATAAAATAATAAAAACAAAACACATGAAGTTAAATTAAAAAAGAAAGAATAAACGGAAAAAAATAAGTATTATTCATAAAAGTATTTATCCAAATTAATAACAATGTGAAATACAAATTATATTATGGATTTTTGTGCAAATTTATATTTTTGATATTATTAATTATTTTATGTAAATTTATATTATTTATACTTTCATATTATTAATTATTAATGTCTCATGTAGTAAACATTATAGAAGGCACATTTTAGGCACATATCACATATTTTCTCACATTACGTGCATCCTGTACAATTCTAAACTTTAAAATTTCCTATAAATGTGCAAAAAAATCCGCAATCTAATGATTACAATATTCTGTAGACACCTTTCGAGGTCTACCCCTTTTCCCTTTAGCAGGTACAGAGGGGGCTGATTGACAACTTGAATTCGACAAGTTATTTTTTCTTTTTGGCCACTGTAAATGCGAATCCAAATGCTGTTTCAATTTATCCTGTCTAGCAAACATTCGAGGACAAATGTTGCAAGCGAATGGTCGTTCACCCGTGTGAACTCTTCTGTGTCTGGCCAAATGAGAAGCTCTCGTAAAGGCTAAAGTACATAGGTCGCAGGAGAAAGGTTTATATTGCGCTTTTGCATTTGTTTGCATCGGTCTAGCATCTTTTCCTTCGTTTAATCCTGATCTCTTCGTAGGGCAGTCGCCCTTCTTTTTGATAGTTAATCTTGAATTATCATCTGTGCTCTTTGAAGAATCCTGAAAATAGAATAGCAATTTATTGAAAATAATTGCTTGCAATAGAAACAACTCTGAACTTACAAGAACGGTCATAAAAAGTTTTAAATTCAATGAATCGATATATATATTTTGGTAAAATGAAATGTATTCGTAAAATCAAAGAGTTAATAAATTTTTATAAATGTGGATTACACTGTCAATTCTTATAAATATCGATGAATAAATATTAAAATATTGAAATGCCAATGATCTTAAATATACAAATATACAATTTCAATCGTGATCATCTTTTCATACCAGACTTTCATCTCGTTCTTGTAAGTCGTCGTTCATCTGTATATCCGGTACCGTAGGATCTGCAGATGCATTGTTAAAATTCGAGTCAGATTTAACCGTGTTCGATGAATCTTCGTAGCTTTCCCTCGTAGATTCTTCCTTTGAAGCTATGCGCTCCTTTGATCTGAATTCTAATACATCATTGTTTCTTGTTGAACGTCCCACAGAAACTCTTTTTTGGCCTTTAAATCTTGTTTCTCGTTTATACATTGGTGGTGGCATACGTCTCTGTTCATAAAAAAAGTTGTCAACAAATTAAAATATTAATTACAAATTACAATGTGAACTTATGATGTAAAAAATTACTACACATATACAAGTACTTCACACAACTTGTATATTATGAGTCAAAATGAATACGCGTTGTGAAATATGCACATGAACCTTCTAATATCAATACAATGATTTCTTTGTCTAAAATAATTTACTACATAAGAAGTGAACACGTCTGTCACTGTACAGTATAATCAAAAAATATGTAAGAAAGAACATATAGCGAAATATAAAACAAACAACAAATATGAAATACAAATGCAGTAAAAGTATATCCAAATTTTTGCTATTATATATAATATAATTTCAATTCTAATTATTAAGCAAATTACAAAATTTAGAAATGAATCTATCCACTTTATTTAAATAAGAAATCTAAGAATTTTACTGAAATGAGATAAATGAAATAATTATAATAATTTAACAATTTGTGAAAAGACACCACTCCAATTTTTATTTTGATAAGACTTTTGCTTTGTTCTTCTGATAAGACTTTCGATTCGTTATTCTGAATCGATTTGTTATAATTGACAATAGAAAAAATAATTAATGGAATGAAAAAATTGATCTTGAAAAAAATAAAATGTAATTTGTCGATAAACTTCCCTTTTTAAATTGTATTAAGATTTTTTCTAACTGTTTTATTGTCCAAAATAAAAGACGTAATTATAAAGTATAAACAAAAGATAAAAATTGTGGTTTGAGTTAACACTAATTTTATCTTATACCGTCATAAAGATGTCATCATTGAACAACAAGGAACTTTTTGTCGTTTCTTGTTGCTATATATTTCACAATATTTTCAAAAAATAACAACTTATAAGCCACGGCTTCACTCAAGCATCATGAAACTTTTTGTGCCATGTATCTTGAAAAAAATTGATGCCGAATGTTTCTCAAAATTTCTTTATGGTTTTGTTATTTAACTTACGTAATTCCATTATTCTATAATAGTATTTATGAACATTTTTAATTTTCAATATCAGGAGTTCTTAATAGTTCTCTATGAAAACATTAAAATTATATAACTGATAAATACCACAGCATTAGTAATGAAAATAAATAATATTCCATACCTATATAAAGTTATTTTAAACATTCTATATATAAAACATAAAAATATAAACAATTTAAAATAAATGATTTCTGTAGCTTTTGTACAAATATCATTAACAAATTACCATTACTATATCATTACTATATACGTTATCATTATTATATCATTAATTTATAATTAGATTATGTGATTATACAAGATGCTGTTTGTAATCATTAGAAGGAATAATCTGATACTTTTTACAAAATGATTGAATTAGAAATTGAGCAAAGGATCGACGAATATATACAGTGAGTCCCAAAATTATTGGCACACGTATATACTAACAAAAGAATGCATCAAATAAGTAGTTTGTAAAAATATTTTGAATACTTTTTCAGTTGTAACATATATTTTATACTCGAAACTAATAGAGCAATATTTATTGTTAACAAATAAAAATAACAGTCGATAACAAAATATATGCTTTTCTGACCTCACAAAAATATTGGCACACTTTGTATAAGAGTTAATTATAGTAAAATGTTAAACAGTATATTTGCTTTTCAATATTTTGTAGAATAGCCTTTTTGCTCTATTACTTTTGCCAACTTTTTTGGCATTGATTCGATCAACTTTTTTATATAATTTATGTCTACAAAATCCTATTTTGATTTCAGTTTAGCTTCTGAAATATTTTTATTAGTTACATTATATTTGCGAATTTATATATCAATTTTATTCCAAATCATCTCAATTGGGTTGAAATCTGGTGATTGCGGAGATGTATCGATAACTCCTGGACAATTATACAAAAGCCATTCCCTTACAACATATGCTTTGTGTTTTGGATCATTGTTTTCGTACAGCATGAACTTGTCCAAAATATTCTTTTTTTTCGGAACTCTGTTTTAAATTGTTTCTCAAAATGTCTAAATATATTGTTATTCATGTTTTGTTTAATAATACGTAAATTTTCCATACGTGATAACTGAAACATCCTACCATAACATTTCCGCCTCCATGCTTTACACTTGCTTGAAGATTTTTTGAATTGAATTCTTCGTCCGGTTTTCTTCATATTTTTGAATGACCATCTGATCCCCAAACTTACTTTCGTTTCACAAAAATGACATTATGCCAGAACTCGACAGTTTTTGATATATATTTTTTTGTAAAATCCAATCGCTTTTTTCTATTGATTGCACTTACTAGTGGTTTTTGTCTAGCAACGTGTCCATTGTATGAATGTATTCTCAGTACTCGTCGTACTGTTTCATTTGAAACAAATTTTTCGAAAAAATTTTCCAACATCACATTAATTCTGGGAGCAGTTTCTTTCGGATTTTTTTTATTTGTCTTATAATAAAACGTTCTTCTCCTGCATTTAAAATTTTCTTTTTCCCACGTACACTCTTATTTTCTACTGTTCCTTCAACTTGATATTTCTTAATGATATTTCTCATGGCACTAAAATTTCTGCCAATTATTTTGCCAATTTCTCTGGACTTGCCATCCTTCCAGTGAATTTTTCTCACAGTTACACTTGTTTCTGTATCTTCATTATCCATTATTGTATGCAATATTGAATAAATTAAATTCAATACAAGTATTTGAATTATAACGTTTCTTTTCGTTAACGATACACTGAGCAGTGATACATTATTGTTATGGTAAGCAGAAATATTTGGAGATCATGGTGTTTTTTTATTAATACAAAAAAACAGACTGTGCCAATATTTTTCTGAGGTCAGAAAAGCATATATTTTGTTATCGACTGTTATTTTTATTCGTTAACAATAAATATTGTTATTTTTTTTGTATTGTTCTATTAGTTTCGGGTATAAAACATATGTTACAACTAAAAAAGTATTAAAAATATTTTTACAAATCGCTTATTCGATGCATTCTTTTGTAAGTATATACATGTGCCAATAATTTTGGAACTCACTGTAGATTTAGAAATGGTCGTTAATGACTTTTGAAATTAACACGCAATGAATATAGAATATAGAATATAAAAAGATGTCAGAGAACACAGAGTATTGAATTCATTTAATGAGTCTCTTCAAATGCAACATAATTCATTAGAAATGTTTCTTCAATAAGAAACGAATTATTTTAGATAATAGTTCTCATTATTCTCATATTCTTTATATATATTTTATACACAATAATTGATTATGTCAAAATTTTCTACTACTTTAACTGTATTAATGAGACTTACAATTTGCGTTTCCGCCGATCGCAAGGGTTCGTCGAATGTATCTTCGTGCCCATCGATCACCATTGGATCATCTTCAACCTCAATTTCTTCCACCTTGATATGATCTTCTAATGATTCTATGGAAGACTGTTTTGGTAAAAAAGGAATCACAGACGGTTCTTTCAGATACTCCGTTGTGTGAACTCTCGTTTCTATGTGACATCGTTGCATCCGTGTCTCAACTCTCGTATAAGGACTACGACTATTTTCTTGATTCCTCTGCTCACCGGAAAGACCACGAATCTCTAGATCTGTTGCAGTTTTAATCAAAGAGGGCAAATGTTCTTCAGCAACATCGATTGAGCCACGATACATAAAATCCAGGAGACATTCCATTTCTTCAACTGCAACACCTGCGAAAAAGTAGAAGAAATATATGCAAAATATTTTAATATTGTTAAATATCCAAATAAATTTACACGTGTACAATGATGCTTAATTTATATAATACATGTATAAATGTTCATTCATTAAATAATAACTTATTTGTGATATATCTATTTTATGTTTGTGAAAAAACAATTTTATATAAATAAAATGCATTTTTTATCCAAAGTATTGTAATAGTATAATATTGGATGATAGCAAAAGTTCGTGCCTGATTTGAAAATAAAATACAATTATATTTTAAAACAGTTTTATTAACCAGTTATATAGTTGTAATCCTTTGTTATTCTCTACTAAGCATGCACAATATTATTTTTAATACCGGAAGATTGTCCAGAGCGAAGTCGATCGTCCATATTAAAACCATTTCGAAATCTACAAAATCACTTTTTAATTGTTCAGAGAGCAGAAACATTCACTTCTTTCCAAAACTCGGAATATAACGAAAATATAATTTTTTATTTTCCATATTAATAAATGCTCGTGCACAAATCAACGTAATTTAATGATGCGATGTCTGATGCTAAAATAATTCATGACAACCCTATCTTTCGATAGCTATGTAATATGACACTAAACATTTATGCCAAACTGCGATAATGCTCTCGCCATCTCTGAAAATTCAGTACAAACTTTTGCAGTCATCCAATATTATATACCAATACTATTTCAAATTTATTAGGAAAATTGTTTAAATATTTTTCAATGTACTTCATTACGTAATATAAATATATGTATGACATATATATATATATATATATATAAAATATGTATATTTTTTTATTTACATTCTTTTTATAATTTTATTAACACTTTTATATTTTTATTTTTTTTATTCTTTCTTTTCTTTCTAAAAAAAAAAAAAAAACGTTCAATATTGAAATTGAATTCAATGCTGAATTTTATAAAATACTGAAGAAGATAAAATAATATAACCAGAATACAAAATAAGCATGATTGCACATTTTACAATATAAATTCATCTTAGCAAATGAAAAAATGTTATCAGTCATTGATTACAATCAAAATTACAAGTAACAATAACATTGTATTTCATTATTAAATTTTGTTCATCAATACTTAAAAAATAAAACTGACTTATATGAATGTTTAAAATAAACTTATATGTTTTAAAAAATTGCAACTTTTAACTTACCTTTCAAAATAAGAATTGGCTGTTCACCATAATGTTCTTTAAAAACTCTTTCAAAGTATGGACTACATGCTGCCAAGACCAGTCTATGTGCCCTCAACATTCCACCTTGACAAGCTAACGTTGTATCAGTTAAAGAACCACTCTTGTAGAGTCCTTCAAACAATCCGGACAAGTTCGCTAGGTGATTGTTCCAAGTAAGGTTGAATGTTTTTTCACCCATTATTATAACCCGTCCAATATTCACTATCAAACATATCATTCATACATTTATTTTTTAAATAAATCTTTTCAACTACTAACATTCGTTTTAATTAGTTAAAGATTCAATACCGGAAAAAATATGCATTCAACTGTATTGTTCATTAACAATAGTAAAAAAAAAATTCAATTTTTTAAACAGATTTTATAACAATTCATAATAATATTTTTAAGAAAATTTTATAACTGTTCATAATAGTATCTTTAAAAAGAAATGATAATAAATAAATTACAAATTTTTATGCAAATTCATATTTTTGTGAAGATAATTAAAAAAAAGTAAAAGCTAGCTAGAGATTTGATTCATCTATTATATACATGTTATAACAAATATTATATTTAGAATATTATATTTAGAATATATTTCGCCTATTAAATGTTTCCCCGAACTTTTGATAATTGCTAATAATAGAATTAATTTTTGGACACTTATCGAATGCATTGTATATTACGATTAATTAAACGAATTATAAACTGGTCAGTTTTTATAAAGTTATTATAAAATTGAAGCAACTTCTATTATAAAAGATAATATTATAACATTATTTTACATGTATCTATAGAATTGCATACTTTTTAAAACTTGACTCCAATAAAAAATTCTATTAATATATTTTTTATAGTTTCTAGTAATAAAAATAAGGAGTTTTTCAATAATTTGTAAATGAATTTAATAATAATAAAATAACAAAAATTAACGATATTATTCTATTTTTCATATAAAATTCAAGTAATTAAAATTTGAATTTCCGTTTCTTGTTCTTTTATTTAATTTAAATGTATATATAATGATGTCTTGATAATGATATTTTATATCATTATTTGTCCAAAATTTTCACAAATTAATTGAACATGTGATTCCAAAATTTTTAAAATTCTTATATCTTACAATTCTGTAAAAAGAACTAAAAATCTTGATTTTGAATATTTCAATAATTAAGAAATTAACTCTATATATCGCACTCTTGCAAAAAAAGTGACACAACTCAAAAAACAATTTTCAAGTTATCACTATAAAAATGTTGCAGAGACATTGTATTTGACCGATTATAAAAATCTTATTCATTAATCTTCATAATTTGACTAGTGGAAATGAATTATGTTGTCCTTCTTGATTTATGTGACATTGCTATTTTTTATAATCTCTTATTATAAATTTTATTTTGACTTGATCATTGTGATATTTTATGCTAATTTGTGATAAAAATGCATTGGGTTTTTAATTGCGTTGTTTTTTTAATTAATAAAATAATGTCTAATTTTATCCAAAACCAATTTTTGCATTTCTTGTAAAACATAAATTTGTCACAAGGGTACACTATGTTCTAATAGTTGTTACTCAGATGTGAGACAGAAATTCTTCCTATTGAAACATCAAAATTATTAAAAATAACAATTATTTACTATAATGAACAGCTATACTTAATTTAGCAAATGTACAATAAAATATTTTTCATTTTTTGCACATTTTTTCTATTTTTATCAAAATTTATTTGGTATCTTCTTGAGGAAATATTTGTAACATTTGGATTACCATTCAGAAGGTAATATTTAGTATTTTATTTTAAAATATTTATTTGATATATTAAAAGATAGAAACAGAATTAATATTGAGTTATATTCTACAAATCCAAAATAAAATAAAAGGAACATAAGGTGAAAGTTAAGAATAATAAAATGGCATTGGAGTAAAATAACCTCCTGAATAATAAAAAATTAGTTAAATATATATTGACAGATTTTCAAACTCGATTTCTCAGGAATGAAAAGAAGCTTTTTTGTTTTTGAGGTAAATAAAGTTTGTGAAATAATCCATTATCATTAATACCATATAGGGTAATTGAATAAATTAAGAAATTAACTGAGTTAGAAACACTCTCTGCTTTTATAGAAATATCTAGGCCATGTCTAATAAAGACTCCTTCAAGATTATTAATGATAGAAATTACTTTACTACACAAGCGTACAATATTATAATTTGCTAAGTCTTTATTATATCTAATAGAATTCTAATAGAATCGGTGTGATATGATCATATTACATTAAACTCTTCTGTATTACATTTAATACATTCAATCATTCTTTCAAAAAACGAAATATCATTATTTTTTATTTACTTTTAAATATAAATTGCAAACTTATTTCATTTTTAAAGTATTTTATAAGATAAATTAATTATATAATTTATTTATTAATATTGGATTCCCAAACATATTTATTATATGCTATTATGAAATCTTTGAACATTATTTCCAATAAATGTTTTTTTCTACAATTTTATATTGTATATCTGTTTATCTTTATACTAATATTTAATATTAAACCATTATTATGTAATAGTTGACATCTTGCAGCTATATATGTAATACATCAGTGTTGGTATTTGATTAACATCTAACTATTATAATTTCTCATACAATTTAAATGTGAGTTTAAAAAATCGGAAATCTATTTACAATGATTAACGCGGAAAATATTTCGTAAAACTAACTACAGTTTATCCAGATCAATGTTTATATAACTATGTTCAAAAGAAACAAACATTTTAATAATGATTCGATTCCAAAAAAATTTAAGAATTAATTTAATAGTCTTATGTACTTCTAATTGATCCATGCAATTTTTTACTAAAATGTAAATATTTGATTTAAAATTCACGTAATAATAATAATAACTGACAATAAGAATGATAGATAAAATTTACAATGCTCATTTTGACATTTCCTTATATATATATTTATTTCATGTATCAAAAACATGAATTCAATTTTAATTTTGTTTATTTAATATTTATTTGTAATATTTAATGATAATAATTAACGTAAAGTTAAGCAATTAGTTAATAATAATATTTGAATGCTAAGATAATTTTTAAAATAATTTTTAAGTTAAATATCTGTTAAATATCTTTTATTGATTATGCTCATTACAGGTGATGAATTTATTCAATGAATTTTTAAATATTATACTATAATCAACAATAATTAAACCAATAGGTAATTGTAAATCATGCTTTCATCGCTATAATTTTTCTATAAACAATTTTTTCTTTAAAATATATCTATTACAGTATGATGTATAATATAAAAAGATTTAATAAAAATTTAATATAATCATTAATAAAGTTGTAAATTTTAAAGTTAAAATTTACAACTTTAATAAATAATTTTCATTTTTGAACTATTTTGAATATTATACTATATATACTATATATATATTGCAGAGAAAAAACAAATATTTAGAATATAAAATAATAAATTGAAATCAATAAAAGTTTTAATTATACTATAAATATACATTAATCTTTCTTAAAGAATGTAAACCAAAAGAAGAAAATTATAAAATATAACAGTAGAACAAAGATAATTTTTGAAATATTTAAATTAAAATAATTGTTTAAAAAATTAATTAGGAAAACAATAGTCTTAATTAAATTAAAGAATTGTAAATGAAGATTTGTTCTCAGTTAAATTGAATTCAGTTCGTTATTTTTCTTAAGTTATGTAAAATACGATTGAATTCTTAATGAAGTAATAGCACATTAGTCAATGTAAGTTGAATATCGCTTTATAACAAACGTGCGCACGAGATGAATATAAAATAAAAAATTGATTAGCAAATAAAAAGATACAATGATTTAGTATTGTGAAGTAATCATAAAATAAATCAAAGAAATTAATAATATTGAAAATAACATGATGTTATTGAACATGATAATATAGTATAAAACAGTATTGAACATGAAAATATAAATCTAAGAAGGGTGCTGAGATGTATAAAATTTTGAAAAAGAAATACATATAACAAATTCAAGAATTTCATCTAAAGTAGAATACTAATAATATAATAAGAATAGAATAAGAATAGAATATTAATAAGAAAAGTCATCCATTGCGGAAAGCGGAGAAAATATAGATTAAACATGAGGAAGTAGAAGTACCGCGAACAACTGTCAGAAATAAAATGAATTATTTTTGCTATTTAATCGAGTAAACAAAATCGAAAATTATGAAAGTATTAAATAGGAAACTCACAAGTTGGATACAGTCACAAAGATATCCAATTTAATGTATAATGTAATGTTATATTACATAAAACAAAATGAAACTAGGGAAAGAAAGTGAGCAGGATGCACGGATAGGTATTCATGTTCATAGATGGAAAGTGGGCTGAAGAAGGGTAGAGCGATCTAGTGGTGGTCATGCGCAGACGTGATACCTAGGCCCGATCCATAATTTCGTTGGTGGACCCCGTCACGCATTTGCAAGGGGCTAGGCTCGTGTGTCGTCCGAACGCACCCTTTTTGCCTCTCGTTACGAAGTAGCTACGTCACAGTAGAAGCGGGCACCACGAAAATTGACAATCATTGGGAGAATACGAACAGCTCCTTACGCAATCGAGGGAGCCGTCTTTACACGGATCGTCATTCGTCATCGCGTGGAAAAATGTCTAAACGTCTTTTCAGGAAAAAAACACGCGTTTCGTTGTCACGCGTCACGTGGATGAACACGTTAATAGTACGAGATCATACAAATGTAATCAACTTGCTTTCAGTTTCTTTCATTCATGAAATACCAATATAAAATACTTGAAATTTTTCATTTAAATTTAATCAAATACTTGATGAAGAAGGCTAAATGTATCTTATGTCTTTAGTTTGACATTTAGTTTAGTAACAATATGCATGATATATAACAAATATAGAAATTGTGTTTGATATAGACTATTTTATATCTTTATCATAAAAATTGTTTTTAATTATCATTCAATTATAATGTTTTCTTTTTCGATTAAAAACGATTCTAGAGTTAGCTATTAAGATTTAAACACATTAATTCTATTAAATTCAATTTTTTCACATGATTATAAAGATATTCTTTATTTAATACTAATTTATTGTTATAATAAAAAGATAATTAAATTTTATTAAGTTTATTAAATTTTCATAAATTTATTCAATAATTTTATTTATTTGTAATTATTCAAAAATGTTTTGAAAACAAACAATTGTAAAGCTAAGATATTAATAAATTTTATGATAAAATTATATATAGTAATTTAAAATAATGATTTATAAAAGATACTCTTACTTACTTACTTATCAAAAATATTTAAACAATTAATAAGTAATAAAATAATTAAACTGAAGCTATTCGTTTAATATGAGTATCTGAAAATTTAACAAATGCATTATTACATAGTTATGTGTGACAACTAACACAAAATATACTATAATTTTATTTATAATTTCACAATAAACTTATTTGTATTATAAACATTAGAGTTATATTATATACACTGATGTAATATTACGGTTGAAAAACACATTCAGCAATAATCATGTATTGATTATGACAATTACGTGATGAACAGGTATATGTAATGAAAGAAAAAGATAGTTCAACGACAAAGTTTACTTGTACTGAACGGTTAAATAATATAGTATGTGATTCTTTTATCTTTGAAATTTTTCTTCCCTCGCAATTTCATAAAATTATTTTTTTATTTGTGAAAGACATTTTAAATTATACAACTATACAAATACACCATTTAAAATAAGTTTTATTGCAAAAAGTCCAATATTAACAATTGGATATTATAACAGCGTGATATCAGGTGTATGTAATCATCGTTATATAGGTGATTATGAAGATAAAGATATCGAGAAAATATTACATATCAATGTTATATTACCTAAATTATCTACACTTGAATTTAATCTCAAGATTAGTACATATTGAGGCAACATTTATATAATTCTATATAACTTTTCTCCTTACATTCAGATTTAAATTAATTAAGCCATATTTGACCTTTTCATTTTTGAAACCAAAGAATTTAGATAATAAAAATAATTTCTGTTTTACTATTTATGTTAAATTACTTATTAACGTAGCGTACTAATTAAATAAAATTAAATAAAATTATGAACAAAAACATTTATTACGACATTTAAAGGAAAATTTTATTTACGCTTGAATAGCTGCGATTTGATATTTACACACTATTTCCATTGTTATACAAGTATAATAAATACATCAAAATTTTATCCACTCAACACGCTACCAAAGCTACCAAAATAACAGCGCGAATAGAAACAGAAATTTTCATCAGCATTGAATTCTTTTTGCGTTACACTGATACAATGAAAAATATTTTAATTTAAATCATTTGTCTTTGTGCATCTATTAGGCAATTATTTTTTTTTTTATTTTCTATCGTCAAATATATAATATATAAGCACATTTTGTATTGAATATGACTTGATTTGATCAAACAAAAGATCTTTTATGCAAATAGCTATAAATATTGAATTAATAAGTATCATTTACATAAACTGAAATGAAAACATCAAAGTTAAATATGTCTATTCTATACTTTAACCGTTCCCTTATGCTTTAACACATTTCTGTACCAATTAATACCTGATTATATGTATATTTCCTATATATTCCATATTTGATTCATATATGTATGTACATGCTGCTTCAACTTGACTTATATTTATAAAAGCATATCATGTTAATATAGTTAATTTTTCATTGAGTTAAATCATCATAAATATTTGATTTAATTTAAAATACTGTACGTTTTGATAATTTTGTTCGTTATAATTTTTTTGAAATTACATATCGAGGTCTAAGATTCGCGTGACTAAGATATCCAAGAATGCATAAGATCTCCCGTGGCTGGTTAGAGCGCTCTAGAATGCTGAAGATCAAGAGAGCAAAGAGTCGGTTTAAACCGTGTGCCCCGTCCCAACGTCGACTCTATTAATATCCGCGCCTTGTCGTCGCTTCTCGAGAACGTGTGCACCAATATAGAGACATTAATATAATGAGACTGTTCTTTTATTAAAAAATCTTTTGGTTTTAAAAACGAATAAACTGAACTGTAATCACGTTCATTATTTTAATAAAAAAATATATAAAAGAAAAAATAAATCATACAATTCTAAAAAGAATCGAGACGATTTTAACGTGTTAAAAGTCATTAAAGTTATGTGTTTAATTGTGATAAAGATGTTTTATTTCAAAACAAAACTGTAAACGAGAGTATAAACTTTGATATTAACTTAGGTATCAGACACAAGGAATGAGGGAAAGGAGTTGCAGCTTTAACAGGACATATCGTAGATGTCGTACAAGTGCATCGCAGTCAATTATGTGATCAGCTACAACCATTCGCTTCATGAAGCTATTAGGAACAAGTTAATAGAATCATCGCATCGTTCCGATGGACGATGGGTTCTCATAAACAGAAAGAGGAAAAGATACAAACTGTTATAATTTTAACATAGTAGCCTACAGATGTCGTACGCAGTCTTAAGCTCGATCGGAGTCAGTGCAAATATCTAATAGATAGTTTCGCAATGTCATTTTACCCTTGTGTAAGTTTTTTCGTCGGTTTGGTTCGATAATTGATTAAGATCATTATAGAAGTAAATACTGTTTAACGACCTACTGAACGATTCTTAAATTAGAAATGAGATAAATCAGCAATGAAGGAAAGACAAACGTAAAAGTTGTTTCATAGAAACAGATGCGCCTTAACCAAAGATCATTTTTTACAGATTCACTCACCTTTGATTATATGAAATGACGAAAGTTACAAAAAGTTGTAGAGTAAAAATACCACCAACGAAATCAATCCGATGGATGTGATCCAACAAAAAGGGGTAGATTAAAATACACCGTGGGACGTTTTCACTTTTTCCTTTTCCACAACCACCATACACCCTTTTGTGTTCCCCGAAATAACCAATTTTGAGTGAAAACACGCACTGCAAGGAAAAACGTATGCAAAGTGAAGAATCGAGTAAGCTATTGAGCTCACTCTGCGAGGGGCACGGCACGTGCTGGGGCTCCCTCGACCGAGTCGCGACTGATATCATTTCCAGCGGGGGACTGTGGGGTCGCCAGCCAGAACCCCACCAGGGGGTCTTCGTGCAACCCCCACGCGGTGTCGTAGTAGTCGTGTTCGCCGTCGTGGTTGTAACTCGTTGTCGTGGCTCCACCGTTGCTAGCCTCTCGAAACCCCCTTTGCACGTACAGGGAATAAGGGACCAGGATGTATACGTACAGCAAGGGGAGATTTCTCTCTTCCTCTCGTACACTGCGATCCAGCTGCGATCGTTCTGTCTCACACTCACTCCCTTGCTCCAACGTACCATTCATTTCCGTCTCGTTCCTACGCATACTTTTATTGTATATATTTCTCTTTGTTCCTCAATGAGCTTCTCTTTCTCGTTCTCAACTCCCATCTTTGTTTCGCGCAACGTGTTAGGTCGAAGCGTTTGTTTCTCTTTCGTCGTTCTCCTAGCTTCGTCAGTTCTGTATAAAGCACACGCAACATCACACTAACACAGCTATGGATCTTCCTCCCCTGCCCTTCACCGATGGTCCCCTCCCTTCGCACGAATCCCTTACCCCCTACGTATCCAGCAGCTTTATCCACCCTGAACCCTCCTATGTACGAGGGTTGCTTCTCGGCAGTCTGATCGGACGTTCGCGAGAAGGGACTTTCCCCTCTACCTCTCACCGCCTAACCATGCTTTTTTCGTATTTCAGATTTGAGGTTGTTTTATTCTCGAGAAAAATTCCATCCCCCTATGCTCTATCTTTTACACCTTGAAACTTTACTTTGCAATGCCCTATGAAATTTTAAAACATCTTGTGGTAAAAGTAGAAAATTATTATAGCTTTTTAGGAAAAGAATAATTATTTAATAATTAAAATTTTTTTTTATTCGATGTTACGTCAATTAATTTTTTCTATTTATATATTTATTTCATTTCCTTTTTTGCATTTTTATTTATTTTATATAACGGAAGATTTATTTTATTTTCAAATCGTCTTTAACAATATGATAACGATGGCGATATCACCATAAATTTGACTTTGAATCGAGAAAAAACCAATTTTTGAATGGAAGTCAGAACAAATTTTTGGCATACAAATATCGCTTTCAGCAAAGCCTTTGGGGGCAATATTACCGGTGCATTGTTCGATTCGAAAAGTGAACTCGCATAAAAGACCTTGGAACACGAAACTGCTCGTTGAAGAGAATCGCAATACGATGAGCACAGATTACAATGGGCACTGATGTAATCATCGCATGAATACATATACAATATATTCACGTAAACGATAAGAGACGTATAATTTGCACCAATAAAATTTTTAAAAATTCTTCTTGTCAATTATATCCATAATGCAATTAAACCATTAAATAAAATATAAATTTAACTTTTATAATTCTATATATCTACTCAAAAAAAAAATTTCTATATTAAACTAAGCGTTTACTGTAAAAAAAAATAAGTAAAACAATACCTTATTACAATAAATTGATTGTTCACGCTCGAGGTGACCGGGCGACCAATTCGGGGGCAGCGAGCGAATATCGATTCGTTATTTTTAGGGGTAGTCCATCCGCGAACCCCACCTTCGTCGCGCCCCCGTTCGAAAATTTATCTGTAATGAATTATTGTTATGCATATTTTCACAAATCCAATATATTCTGTAAATAGTTAAATAAAACACAAAAGTGAATAATATTAAATAAAATGTAACAAAAATTATATAATTTTTATTATCATAATATTCTGTTGTAAATTTAATACAATTTTTAAACATTACAAAATATTTTTATTGGTAAAAAAATAATTCTACTTCGATCAAACTATATAAATTGAAATAATTCATCATTCTGCATTTGTTTTGTAAAAAATAAACCCAAATCGATTATAGCAACTTATTTTAATAATCCTTTCAAATAAGGAATTATCATTCATTGTCAAATATTTATTGTATTGTAAAATAAGTATTTAATAAAAAATTTCTATAAAATATTAAGATATTCAGTACTCAATAGATTTTTTATCTATTATACAATTGTTATTATAGCCTGTGTATATTATTCAGTATCAATAGTAATATTATAATTATTAATATATAATATAAATATTAATAATTACCATCATAATTACAATTATGATATCATTTAATGTTTATTCTTATTTAATATTTTAATTTTATTTCCACAATGCATTAAAAATATAATACAATTGACGTTAATTTTAAATCTTCAAATAATTTCAATTAATTAATTATTGTTTGAATAAATTATATCAAACATTTAATTTTTCTAAATTAACCAACAAATAGACATAATTAGAGCTTTGCTCCTAATATTTTTAATATAATAATAATTTTTTGTCACGACCATGTATATAAATTATTTGAAAATTTAATATTTTCTATAATATTGATATGTGTTGGGTCAGGACTACAAAAATCTTTTAATAATTCGCTATTAAATCCACAATCGCTTAAATTTTCTTTACCAAAAACATTTTCTGGAATTTTTGGTACATTTCCAGATTCCATTTCTTCTGTAAAAATACAAATATCACATGGTGTTCATATAATTTTTATATAAATAACTATAATTTTGCCAGAAAAAATATTTACCAAAATTATTTTTCATTGCTGAAAATGAAGTTGTTGACTGTAATCCTGCACAACTTGCAGAATATTGTTCTAATTGACTAGATTTCATTAAAGAACAAAGCAAAGGTAATACATGTGGCAGAAGAGGTCCTTTTAATTCCATAGAAAAATATCTCTCATTGTCAACACGAACTATACTTTCCTTAACCTTCAAAAGTGAAAATAATTTATAATTTATATTATGTTTTAATTTAAATATAAGAATATTTTACCTTAATTGGTTTTAATGTTGCACCATGAAAAGCCACTGGTGATAAAAGAGTCGGAGGTACTCCTGCCAAAGGACCAGTTGTTGTAATGGCAGACTTACAATTAATTAAAAAATTAAATAAAGCTTGTGCTTCAACACCTTTTACAAAAATGAGGGATTCTTTCATATTGTCTATTTCAGTTTGTCTTTCTAATGTCATTCTTGTCTAGAAGAAAATTGTATAATCTATAAATAATGTATTAAAAATAAAATTATGCATATCTGAAAATTACCTGAGAATTATTAATTTTACGAATTTCGGAATTTTCAACTCCTAGACTTTGCAGCCATTCATCTTGTGTCTCATCATCCTCATCATCCAAATTTTGATTCTCTGTATAACTGAATGTAGTATTTGATGCAATTGAATCTACTGTATCACATCCTGAATCAGTTACATCTGACCGTCGTTTAGAATCTTTTCGCAAAGGCATTGTATACTCAATTTCTATGAAAAATGTGCAAACTTAAAATAAAATAGTGTTAAAAATTTTTTCCACATATTAGATTTTGCTTATACCTTCTTGTTTTAAAGATTGTCGGAAGCCACGTGTTGTAGGAGTCAAAAGGGCATGAGCTTCAGAAATTCCACATATTCCAGCAGCACGAAATAATACAGTAAAATTGTTCGTGCAGACATAAAAATATGGACATTGTCGTGCTCTTAATAAATGAAAAAGTGATCTGAAGCTTTCACTCCATTCTTTATACAAAGCTTCCTTAATGAACATGTTGTTTATTATCATAGAATTACTTACTAAAGTTGCACTCACTTTGCCAGTGGAACGAGGAAATAACTCTAGCCATGGTAATGAAGGATGCTGCCATATTAAACAGCATTGATGTAACCTGTTTAACAAATATTTTAATTAATGGATATTTTTACTGATACAAACATAAGAATTACCTTGCATTTGGACTAGTATCTAAAGTTGAGTGTTGTTCACTAATATCCAAACATCTTACAAAACCAGTAGTACCCGAGGCTTCTTCACTAGTTTTTAATTTACAATTCCAAGGAAATGGTTTTGGCGACATAAATCTCATTTTAGTTTTTAAAGTCCAATCTATTGGAATATATTTCTCACCTTTAAGTGCTTCTAAATTCAAAATATCCTTATTTATTTCCAAATTTAAAAATGCATCGCTAAATGTTAAAGGATAATTAGGTATTGAGTTATTCATTTCATTCACTTTTGCAACCTTAATTTTTAATAACTCAAATAATGTATTATCATTACTAGTTTCCACATCTGCTGGTGTTATATTCAACATTTTACATGTTTCATTTTTACTGAAAGGATTTTTTCGCTTCTGATTTGCACATTGATTAGAATCAATACTATTAGATTTTTGTGTGGGCTTTAATTCTAAATTTTTTCTATTGACGTGTGCATTGTTCATACGTGCTTGAAGAGCACGTTTTTTCATTTTTAGTCGATGTAACTGCATTACTTCTTCTGGTTTCTTCCACTCTAGTTGCAAATTATTTTGATTCTCCATTAGTAATTGAGATAAACTTTGTCATGCTATTGAACAAAAATTATAAATAATAATTAATAACAATGTTTAATATTAAAAAATATAAGTATTTATTAACATAACATTAACATTCTTTGAGATAATACTAATTTTTTATTTCTAATTTAATAAACACTTCACAATTTATTTCCGTTACGTTCTACACAATTATAGGTTATATTTCTTATAGTTTAATTTTACATTTCTGTTTATTTAATATTAAAATTTTAAATATTTTTGACAATATTACAAGAAAAAAGGAAATAATTAAATATACATACCGTTACTTAGGACTTTTTTATCAATCTGATTTCACTGTCAATTAAATAGATTTCCACTGTAAACAAGAGCCATATTTGAAGAATTTAAACTTACTAACGTACTATGTATGATATATATATAAGTAGTATCAAAATGAAATATATATTTATAATTACAATTGTAGAATAGATTTAAAAAAAAAATTATAATATGTATCAAAGTATCGAGAAATATTTGAAGCACCCTAACTGGAGGGATAAACAGTTCGTTACATACATAGGATGTGTATACGAACACATGCATAGATACATAATACATGTATATACATATTGGAGTTCATCGTCCCTTCAACTACTATTTATTTATGCAATTAAATGTATTTTATTAGATAAAAATTAAAATTTCATTTCAATAAAAAGTTTTATGTATGCAAGGTGTTTCTTTTATCTTGCTTATCCCGAAATGTTTGATATTTTTATCAATACAAAAGAATGTACCAGGAGTAAAAATAATAAATCACATTAATTTGAATTTTGAAATTCAATATACTATTAATCAATCCTATCATTCTTTTAAAAGTTTAAAAAATATTAAATATTTTAAGATAGGAAAATCGACAAAAACTAATTTATCGTGGTTTAAATATTTTCAAAAGATTTGGATATACGTATTTGATTTATATAATATTATATTACATAATTTTATATTATGTTATATTATATACGTATAGTATGGAAATCATCAAGATCTAACATTAGATCAAGAGTAGAACAAGAGAATCCATTACAAATATTTACAGTCAGATATTGGTTTAAAAATAAATCTCCAATTGGCAGCAAACTTTTTTGGAAGTTAATCTGCATCAATGAATTATTTTTTATAAGATCTAGGTCAGTTTATGTAAATTTATATATGATAATTGTTTGGAATCAAATAAACTTAATCAATTTCCATGACTTAGAAATATGTTCTTAATTCATCATTTTGAACAATTTTTTCCTACTCCCGTTTAATCTTCATTTCCAAGATATTCATAAAAAATTTTCAATGATTTATGATTGATAGTACATACTTTATTCTGCTTCTGAAGATATAATTTTACAAGTAGTGATTGTATAATGACATTCAATATAACAGCAAAAATATTTCCGACTTTAACAGACTTGACTTAAAATAATATGTAATGATATAATATGCATATACATAATAGCATTATAAATAGTATTTAAAATAATGACCTAGATCACATATTTTAAATTATCAAAACCGATGAAGTGAATCTGACTCTGAATGTGTAATTATCTTACATACGTAAGCTATGTAAACAAACTTGAAATTATAATTTTTAGTGTATGTGTTATTCGATTAGCAACCATCACATAGCGGCACTATAGCATAGAATATAGATTATAGACTAACGATAAGTAGGCTTACGAAGGTGTGAATTTCCATGTAAACATACAATATCGTTCTTCTTTGTCACAGATGAGGCTTTGTCATATACATATGTATGATGTTAGCATAGACGAGGTATATAAATTTGTTATTTTGAAATAATTTTTAATTTATCGACATAATTTTGGCAATCGAATAACACATACACTAAATTATATTTCTCAATATGATAACAAAAATATTTCTATCATTAACAATATACTTTATATAACAATAATATTTTAAGTTAATTTAATAAGTATTTTAAGTTAATTACGCATGTAATTTTTAAAGAAATTGCGTTTTTCTCATTCATTATTTTATATATAGCCGTAAATATATATGAACATGTTCTAATCGTTTTACTCAATGATCGCTAGTCGATTTCAGGAAAATGGTATATAAACTAGAGTATGAAAGTTATGTATTGAACTCGGAAGTTGGAAACGTCACGGGACATTTTCTTTAATATAAGACTTTGTGTTCAGGTGTGATATGTTTGAAAACTATGGAGTAAATGAAGTGTCTGTTTTGCCATTTTTCAAATATATGGCCACTGAATAAAATAGGTAGCTTATTTTTTGGTGTTTGTATTTAACAAAACACAAATAATTTATATGTAAAGCTCTATTTTGTTCAAAAATACATGAATAATACATAAAAGAATTATATTACATGAATAATATTAATAATAATACATACACATAAATGAATAATACAAAAAATACATAATTACGCAACAAGTGCGCTAGCTGTGGAACTTTCGTACTTCCAGTTTGCTGGAAGAGTTCCTTTAGATTTGTAATAACGTGCGAGTCTATGAATTCTAGACTCTACAAGAATTAATCTAAATTTGCTGTCTTTATCTTTTCGATTTCTTTCTAAATGTTTTCTTATAGCTACTGCTTTTTTAATCAAATAGTATAAATCTTCTGGTAAATCAGGTGCGAGACCCATACTTTTAACTATCCTCAGGATTTTATTTCCAGTACGGAAACGTACTTGAGCAACTCCATGAGAATCTCGAAGAATCACGCCTGAAAAATTTCATCATCTACTTAAATAAATACATTAAATAAGTAAATTTTTAAAAAATGTAACACATATTAAATAATTTCTAAGTTTGTTTTTGATAAATACTTATAATAGCATGACTAAATATCACAATCATTTTAAAAAACTTATCATGTTTTTAATATTGCAATTTATTTACATTATAAACAATGGCATAAGCATTGAATTTTAATCAGTTTGCTTGAAAAAAATTATATCTAAACAAATTTTGATAAACAAAACATAAAATATATATAAATAATAAAGGTATAACTTATAATATACAATTAATATGTTATATTAATATCTAAAATCATTTTTAAAATTTTCAATAAATTAACTATATCAATTGTATGAAAAGAAATTACCAATTTGTGATGGAGTATGTCCTTTTTTTGCTAATTTATAAATCAACTCCTTGCAATCCTCTGGAGTTAATTTGAGCCAGGTAGGGACACTACGTCTATAAGGTAACGCTGACTGGGATATACCCTTTCTGCAATATTATAAAATTTTATTTAAATACTTCATACCTTTTATATAACAATGTATACGTAAAAAATGATATTAATATGAATCAAGAAAAGTACAATTAATTAATTCCTTCGAAAATACAAAGATAACTGAAAAAAATAAATTGAGGTTATGTATAAAAAGAAAATAAAAATTACAAAAAATTTGTAAAAAAGATAAGTTTTTTTCGACTCCAAATTTAAATGAGAATATGGTTAACATATATTAAAATATAAATTATTTTTAAGAATATGCAACTATCGCGACTTTTAAGAAACATGTGGAGGCTGAAAGAATATTGTTATAATAATTTTTTATTCAATTCATTTATGAAATCATACTCTGATACAAAAAAAAATTAAAAAGCATGCAAGAAAAAAACTAATTTTAAATGTAATAATAATTTTCACTAAAATTCAAATAATCTTACCCTGGTGCGTGCATACGACCCATCTTTGCGTAGTTCTCATTCAAATAGACAGATTCCGTGCGCAGTTCTCATCCAGAGACAACAACGCTCTTTTAATCCAGTTGGAAAATAGTAGAACTACGAAACTTAAAATTTGTGGAAAAATTGATATAAAAATTATGACGTAAAAAACAATTGAAAAATATTACGATCGTAGAATATTTAATGTCGCACTAAAAATATTATTTTAATCAAATTATAATTAATTTGAATTTAACTATCAGTTTCAATAATAATTATTGATAACACGCTAAAATACAGTATAATTTAACAAAACGTTGCGTAAAACTAATACAATTATACAAAAAAAACAAATAATTTTAAATTATAAATAAACAACAAAAATTGGAAACCCTGAGAGATTATTTCAAATATATACGATATACATAATTAAAAGTTACAATCGGAGTTAAGCCAAAAGTTAAATTCTGCTTCTCTTTCGGCTCTAACTTGCAGCGGATGATTATCAAAAAATCAATTCACGATCTAAATAAACTTGAACAATTTAAATTTTAAAAATGTTCCAATTAAATATTGCGAGCACGAATATTTTTTTTAACAAAATGTTCATTTCATTATTATAATTATTTCATGTAAACTATGGAATATATAGTTTCTGGAAAAATTAGACAAACAATGAGAAAATAGCACAACTTCGTAATATCTTATGATCTCATCGAAGTGTGATTCCAATCTAAAATATTTAATTTTGTACATTTGTTTTTTAAATCTTATTAAACAAACATTATTTTGATAACATAAATGTTCTTTTAACTTTATACTAGATTTTTTATTTATTGAAGATATAAAGTAACATAATATTAAAGGTACAAAATGATTAATAAAAAAATCTAGAATAATATATATAATTTCAAATCAATATATAAAAAAATATATTTAGAAAAAACATAATTATGTAAAATATAAATTTAAATATTGTACTGAAATAAATACTTTTTAATCTTTGATTTTTTGAGTTTATCCTGTAATTTTTGATTTCTGAGTTTTACTATTCTTTTTGGCGGTAGTTAGTAGGTTTCTGTTTAACTTGTGTAGGTGGTTTCCTGTTTTTTGGTATTTTCGTTTTTATCTGTTTCTCTCTTTGAAGAATGATCATTCTTCATTTAACATCATTAGCGCTTAGGTAGTAAAGCAGATAGCATGTTATCTAAAACCGAATAGTTCGAAGTATTTGTTACAGTTACCCAGGCGAACCTTCAAGGACAGAATTCAGTGTTCATACCTTGGATGATCCAACTTTTACAACTGGAAGTCTCATCTCGTAAAGACCATCCAGACCAGAGCAACTTAAACACGGAGCCACCACAATCTGTACAATCGCAAAAAAATACACTCAATGGATAATAGCAGTAAAACAGAAGCTCAATGAGGATAAAATCAAAATTGAAGCTACCCGAAGACGAAAGTCAATGTCGCTCTTTGATTCACTACCGGTCACCAAGATTAACAAAATTGAAAGTATGGACATCACAAATCCTGACATTCAAACAAAAAATAGGTTCAGCTTATTTGCTGAAAATCTTATGATCGAATAAAACACTGGAAAACAAAGAATCCTTCACGGGTAACCCTTTACACATGAAAATCCTACAGCTAGCCCTAACCTACCAGTCATAAAATCTCATAACACAAAATCTCCTCCTATCTACGTAT